GAATGAGTGCTCTAAGTTCTCACAGGGTAGAACAAATTAGAAAGGATATTCATATATTGTCTAATTCATTCAATAAATAAATTAGTAAGTTAATAAATTAATTGGGTCAGAGGAGGAGGGCATGGCATCTCTTGTTTACTCCCCAACTCACCCTCCAGTCCCTGCTCCTCCTGCCTCCTTTATGCCCCATTCCACGCCATTTGTTTATTCTTCCATTCCTTCTCCAAAGTTTTGAGCAGCTACTGTGCCAGAAACTGTTCTAGGAGTTGAAGAGAAGGTAGATGACAAATTAGTCACGGTCTGTGACCTCCTCAAGTTTACGTGCTAGTGAGGGAAGGCAGGCTGCCTACAAGTAAACAAAAAAATAAACAAGATGGTTTCATAGGGTGAAGAGTGATGTGAAGGCAGGGATGATGGAGTCCTTAACAGTCTGTATAACACATTCTCAGTCATGATTGACTGGGGCACTGTGTGGGAGAAGACGCCTGGAAACCCTGTCATGGCAGGGTTAACCCTTTAGTTGCTGGATCATGACAAAGTATGTGTGTGTGTGGACGTGGGGAGGGGGGAGAGTTCTAGGGGAAGGGGAACAGTCAGTGTTGTGGAAGACTTCTTGGGGAGTCTGAAGAAGTATTTACCAACCAGAACAGAGATATGTCACTATTCTAACCATCAGTAACTCTGTACTGGTGCCAACAATTTCATATTAGCTGCGGGGTCTTGGTGACTGATGGTGGGCAGAAGACGCGAACGGAAGCTATTAGAGATAGATAGTAACATTGATAATGGCCTCTCGGTGAAGACCTGAGTAACAGAAAAGAAAAACTCAAGGAGCAGTCAGGGAGCAGGTAATGATGTGGAAAGCATTCTCGCCAAAGGGTAACAGGCAAAAATGATGAGGTGCAATAGCCTGACATGTTTACAGAACAATAAGAAGGCTAATGTTGCTGGAACATTATGCTGAAGGAATGATAAGAAATTAGGTCAGATGATAGGTGCAGGTCAGATCTCGTCTGGCCTCTTAGATCATGATAAGAAAGTAAAATGAGAAATGGGGAAATGATATGGTCCGACTTACATTTTTAAGAGCTTACTCTAGCTGCAGTTAGGAGAATGGATTGGGGGTTAGGGAGAGAAGAGTGAAAAGTGTTTTTGGGTTGTTTTGTTTTGTTTTGTTTGAGGCTAGAGACAATGGTAGCCTGGATCAGAGCGATGGCAGTAGAAGTGGAAAGAAGTGGGCTAATTCAATATTTATTTGCAAGTTGTGGTGGTTTTAAAGATATGTCACACATTATTTGATATTCCTTCCCTCAAGAGGTAGAGCTTAATTTTCCTTGCCTTGAATGTGGACTGGAGCTGTTTGCTTCTAGCAAAGAGAATATGCCAGAAGTTAAGAGGTGTCACTTCTGTGGTAAGACTGTGGCTTCCATTTTGGGGGCATGCTGTCTTGCTCTGTTAGTTTGCTCACCCTGTGGGATGTCAGCTACTTTATTATGCTACAGCTCTGTGGAAAGGCTCATGAGGCAAGAGACCAAAGACTGCCAACAACTATGTGGGTCATCTTGGAAGCCTGTCTTACCTCTTCCACCCCACCCCAGATGAGCCTTCAGATGAGCATACAGCTGTATTAGCCAGGGTTCTCCAGAACCAATAGTATAGATGATAGATAGATGATAGATAGATAGATAGATAGATAGATAGATAGATAGATGATAGATAGATAGATAGATAGATGATAGATAGATAATGATAGATGATAGATGATAGATAGATAGATAGATAGATAGATAGGAGGAGATTAACTGTGGGAATTGGCCTACATGATTATGAAGTCTGAGGTATGCCACGATATACTATCTGGAAGCTGGAGAGCCGGGAAAGCCAGTGGTATAATTCAGTCTAGTCTAAAGGCCTGAGAAATGAGGGGGCCGCTGACATAAGTTCCAGAGTCTGAAGGTCCAAGAGCCAGAAGCTTTGATATCCAAGGGCAGAAGAAGATGGATGTCCCAGCTCAAATAAAGAGAGAGAGTATTTGTCCTTCCTCCACCTTTTTGTTCTATTCGGGCCCTCAATGTGCCCACGCACATAATGAAGATTGATGAATGATGAATGATGAAATGATGAATTGATGAATGATGAATGATTAATAAGATTGATCTTTTTACTCAGTTTATTGATTCAAATGTTAATCTCTTCCAGAAACACTCTCCCAGACACACCCAGAAATAATTTACCAGCTATCTGGGCATCACTTAGTCCAGTCAGGTTAACACATAAAATTAACCATCACAACACCTCTGGCTGATAGCTCAGCTGCCAATTCATGAAAGACCTTGAGCCAGAGATATCCAGTTATGCCACACCTAGGTCACTGATCCCCAGAAATTATGAGATAATGAATGTGTGCTGTTTTTAACTGCTAGATTTTGACACAATTGGTTGTAAAGCAATAGATAATACAGAAGAAAGGCCTATGGGACTGACTAATATATTTGGTGCAAGGAGGTAGTAGAGAAAAGGATGGGTGAATGAAGATGCCTAGGTTTTGGGTTTGAGCAACTGGAAGGCAGAGGTGCCATTTATTGAAGTGTGGAGAGATTGGAGGACATAACATGTTGGGGTGGGGAATCAAGAGTTCTGCTATGGAAAATTTTAAGGAGACTATTAGACATCCCAGTGAGGGTATAAACCAGGCACCAGTGAGTGAGCACAAAGTGAGGGCTCGGCAGCCAACCAGTCATTAATGTTTAATAAAGGACCACTCTTTGCCAGGCTCCTTTCTATGCTTTGAGGTCATAGTGGGAAATAAGACAAAACCCCCAAACTCAAGGAGCTCCCATTCCATTAGGCAGCAACAGACCACAAATGTATAAGGAAATTAACAAGATGATTTCAAAAACAATGAGTAATGAAAGATATGGGATAATGTCAAAAGGTTGCTGGAGGTGGGGCGTGCTACTTTAGCTAGAAAGATCAAGGAGGATTTATTAGAGCTACAGTAACAAGCTTGGGTGAGGTATGTACATTTTGGAAACACCAGCATACAGATCATATTTAAATCCACTGGAATTGAGGGGGATCACCTCAAGGGAGAATGTAAAAAGAGAAGATATTTTAAAGCGAGTCCTAGGGCTTCTTCATTTAGACATCAGTGACAGGAGGACCCTGCCAAGAAGATGAGGAAGGTAAGGAAAAAATTGGGAGAGGGTGGGAGCACAGAATCCAAAAGAGGTAAGCATTTGAAAAGGCAGTGGTGATCTGTGGTCAATGTGGTTACAAGTTGAATATGGTTGCAGCAGAGAAGTAACCACCAGATTTGATAACATGGATATTCTGGGTAGTTTAAAAAGAGTAAATTCTACAGTTGAGTCAAAGGAACACAAGCTATATTAGAATGGGTTAAGCAGAGAATGGGAGATTGGAGATATTCTCTAAAGTTAGTTGCAGAATCAAACAATCATTTGCTTATGCTCATAAACGATGAGCAAGGAATTGGGGCAGGGCTCAGTAGGTAGATTCTTCTGCTCCACATGGTGTCAACTGGGGTGACTTGATGGTATTTAGTTGGTGGCTGGACTAGTCTGGAGTGTCCAAGAAGGCTTCATTCCAGGTCTGCTGCCTTGGTGTGGATGGCTAGAGGGCTGGCACTTTCCCTCTCCATGTGTTCAGAACCTTTCCTGTGAACACTCCAATGATGTGATGGGATTTATGATGCAGAAGCTCAAGGTTTAAGAGCAAGTGTTCCAAGTGACAGGAGGTGGAAGCTGTTGGTCCCTAAGGCTGTGCCTGCAAACTGGAATAGCGCCACTGAATTTTATGAATTAAGGCATTCACAGAGTCAGCACCCACTTGAGGGCAAGGTCCCATGCCCACTCCACAACAGGAGATGTATCAAAGAATTTGTGGCCATCATTCATCTGTTACAAGAGGTGATAAAAAGGAAGCAGCAACTGTTGGCAAATCTTTCAGAGGTTTTTAAAAGCGAGCGAGAGAGAGAGAGCAGAGAAAGAGGGAAGAGTTAGAATGTGGGGTCAAAGAGCATTTTCCCCGGAAATCTGAATCACACTAAAGCATGTTGGTATCTGATCGCATTATTCCAGAGAAGAGGAGTAGATGGATCTTGCAGGAGAGGGAAGTTGCACCTGAGACCAAAATCCTTGAGAAGGAAAGAAAGAAAGGGAATGGCTGGTCTTCAGTGAAGTAGGGAACTTTCTTCATGGAAACAGGAGAGAAAGGAGACATGGGTGTACAGAGGCACCTCCTTTCCAGCTTTGCTCCAGTATCCCCTTAACAGTGAGGCTTCTCCCGATTCCCGTTCTTTAAATGGCACCTCAGTACTCCTTATCTTTTTTCCCTGTTTTATCCTTTTCCATAGAATATCTGCATACCCATAATGCACACAAGCATCACCCACAGCACTATATAGGCAGTAGTGATGTATTTTACGGATTTGTAGAGCACAGCAGGTACTGACTAAGTGGCCGGTGAGTGCCTGGAATGAATGAATGTTGCAGTGATGTACTTGCTGAGCTGTAAGCTCAGGAGTGTTGCTCGGAGATTGAGATACCTGAAATCCAGATGTTTGAAGGTGACACACAGTGGTAGCCTGGTGAGAATGAAGTTAGATCCTAGGGGTTCTAATCACAGCCCTTTCTCCCTTCCGTGCTTTTTCTGGCTGAGTCACAGTGATCCCATTACTGAACCCCTCTGAGCCACAGGGATTAGGACCTTGTTGGCACAAAGTGAGTGCTCATCAAAGCCTGGCTCTCTTTTCCCACAGCTCTCCATTTCCACCAACCGGCATGCTCTCCACCTCTTGCCAGGTCTGGGCAGCTGTTCCGTATCTCCTCTCTTCAAGGTCTCCAGGGAGCACGCAGCTCCTGGCCTCTGGTGCTGACCCCAAGCTGGTGCCCTCTGTGCTGCGGAGAGGGGAGGGGCGGGGCAAGCCGAGCCCGGGCAGCCCCAACGAGGCTCAGGCTGCAGGCGGGCCAGTCTCCCGCAGTCTGTGTATCAGCCCAGTTCTCCGTTCCTGTCCGAGCCATGGCGAAGCTGATGATGCTCACCCTCTTGGGGCTGGGACTGGCACTCTTCAGGGATCACCAGGCTTCTTATCAGTAAGTTGAGTTGTGGTGAGGGCTGCAGCCCCGGTCCTTGCCACCCCGCCAACCCCAGGAGCTCCCCTGAAAATAGGGTGTAGTTTTAAACCGAAAGTCCCCAGGTAAGTTCTAGATGCACAGGCTGAAAACATGTCCTTGTTCACGGCCTGAGAGATGGAGGAAGGGCACAAATCACACTGGTGTGATGGCCAAGTTGTTGGCATACACAAATTGATTTTTCATGAGGATCCGTGTGCCTTGGCTACAGAATCACCTCTCATTCTCGCTTCAAGATAGAGCACCAGACCTGGGATCTCCCCTGATAATTGGGGTAGTTAGGGAAGGAGCCGCCCCGTCATGGCCATAAATCTTTCCCAGCTTGGGGATTCTCAATTTGAGGCCACACAGAGACACAAAACACATGCGGAGCAGAGCAGGTGGGAGCAAACACACTCTGTGAGGGCCTGCCCCCACCTCTTACTCGCTCCAGTTGGGCAGTGGTGGGGGGTAGTTGTGGGGGGGAGGATAGAACCCTGGCGCAGGCATCTGATGTCCTGGGTTCTTGCTCTGTCCCTTCCATTATGGGATCTTGGGCAAATCATGTTACATCTCTAACATTCTCGGCTTTAGTAAGACTGAACCAATAAGACACACTCATCCTGCCTGGGACATAGCAACTATTGAATAAACGTTAGTGCTCTGCTTCTCTTAAAGTACTTATAAACCCTTAGCTACTGTAAAAGTGGGGGGTGGGTGGGTTAGTTTTTAAGAATGTTTCAGTAGTTTCATGGTAACTTTACAGGGGTTCAAAGTCTAGAGACCATCCTAATTCCTAAGGTTTAGTCACTCTCTTGTTATTTACTTTGAAGTAAAACATTACTAAAAACCAAACTGAACATTTTAGCCTTTTAAAAAACTTTCATGACCCCAAGCTTTCTTTCAGAATAATTTTTTTACAAACTGTTGGGTTTTTTTCTTCTAATTGTTATTTTTGTAATCACAAACTATTAGAGAAAAGTAACAGTGATTTGGGGTTCAAATCATGTAAAAATTACGGTTTGTGGATTTTCATTAAACATAGTACTATTTGATGATAAAGGAGAATCTCTCTATTTTATTATATTTATTTTATTTAATACATATATGTAATACATATAAATATATTTTACATGTATTATATATGTATTTATATATATAATATAAATATATATAAATATAAATATATTTACATATATTATACATATATATGTATATTTCCCCCCAGCATATGTGTGGGTCATGGTATTATCCTGGGATGAAAATAAATGAGATATAAATATCTAACACCCCTTGTGGGCTTTATCCTTTCAATTCTACATCTGTACCTGGGTTTCTTCTGCCCCGACTTTTCCAGAGGCCCCACACAAAGATGTCTTCCGCAGGATTACAGATCTGCCAGGAAGGAGTGAGGGTCTGTCTTTCTGGTTTACCTTCCTTAATTTACTCTAAGAATGGAGACTTGTAGGCATTTTGTATATGTTTTTGTGTAAAAGCATAGCTTTACTGCCCCAACCCTGAAAAGTTTCTCTCTCAACATGTGGTCTGAGCTTATGTGATTCAACTTTAATATTTCCCTAAATTTGTTCCTTAGACCATGAGCCACAAGACTTGCTCCACAAAAACAAAACAAAAAAGAAAAAACAAAAAGCACATTCCTTGGACATATAAATTTGGGAAGTGTTATCTATTGTAGCCTTTTCCTAGAGATTGACAGTGCACTCTGGCATATTGAAAGCTTTGAAAAATCCTTCAGTTACAAAAAAACAGAAACAAAAACAAAACAATTTTGCTTTATGTCATCATTTCACAGACTTACTTGCCCACACCTCCATTCCCCTCTCTTGGTACCATCTATAAACACCCTGTCAGACTCTCTGGGATCCAGTTTGAAAAGGACTGTTCAATAACATTGACTTGCACCAAGACAAATTTCAACATGATAAAATTGGGACCTGTCCTTGGGCAGCAAGGGGACCTTGGCCTTTTTTTCTGAGCCTCTCCTCTGATTCTGATTTTTCTGAAAGGACGAAAGTACGCTATGATGATAGTCCAACGTAACACCAGTCCCTGTGAGTCCCTTTGTTGGCCTTGCCTGCGGTTTCCCATTGTGGATAGCATGTCTGCAGGAGATGCTCTGCCGTGGGGCTGCCTCAGTGGGAAGACCTGGAGTCTCATTTGGAATTCAGAATTTACTGCTTTATTTTCAGCACCTGGATCCAGTGAGGGGGCACAGAACCTTAGTCCTTAAACTTCTACCTGTATGGATAAGATTAACAACACAAGAAACAACAGGTGTTGTCCAGGATGCAGAGAAAGAGGAACCCACTTACACTGTTGGTGGGAATGCAAGCTGGTGGGGCCACTCTGGAAGACAGTGGTTCCTCAAAAAGTTAAAAATAGAACTACCCTAGGACCCAGCAATTGCACTATTACATATTTACCCAGAGGATACAAAATTCTCCTCAAAAAGTTAAAAATAGAACTACCCTAGGACCCAGCAATCGCACTACTACATATTTACCCAAAGGATACAAAAATACAGATTCGAAGGGGTACATGCACCCCTGATGTTTATAGCAGCATTATCAAGAATAGCCAAAACAATGGAGAGAGCCCAAATGTCCATTAACAGATGAATGGATAAAGAAGATGTGGAATATACATACAATGGAATATTACGCAGCCATCAGAAAGAATGAACTCTTGCTGTTTGCAACAATGTGGATAGAGTTAGAATGTATTATGCTAAGTGAAATAAGTCAGCCAGAGAAAGACAAATACCATACGATTTCACTCATATGTGGAATTTAAGAAAAAAACAAAAACAAAAACAGATGAACATATGGGAAGGGATGAGGGGAAGGAGAGAGGGAAACAAACTAAAAGAGACTCTTAAGGATAGAGAACAGCGTGCCTGGGGGGTTCAGATGGTTAAGCGTGTGCCTTTGGCTCAGGTCATGATCCCAGGGTCCTGGGATCAAGTCCCGCATCGGGCTCCCTGCTCCTTGGGGGCCTGCTTCTCTCTCTCTCTCTCTCTCTCTCTCTCTCTCTGTCTCGCATGAGTAAATAAATAAAATCTTTAAAAAAAGAAAGGATAGAGAACAAACTGAGGGTTGCTGCAGGGAGGTGGGTGGGGGTTGGGCTAAACGGGTGATGGGTATTAAGGAGGGCACATGTTGTGATGAGCACTGGGTGTTGTATGTAAGTGATGAGTCATTAAATTCTACTTCAGAAACCAAAATTGTTAACTAAGTAAAATTTAAATTTAAAGAATCTTATTTAAAAATGAAAGAAAAAAAACTTCTACCTTTAATCAGACATTTGAGAAGGCAAGAGGAAAGTGGGCGTGAGATGAACCTCTGGTTTTAGAATGGAAGGGGGATCTAGAAGAACCTGGAGAATAGGAACGATGCAGGGCCGAGAGGATGGTGGTTAGTGAGACGGAGGATGCGAGCAGCCCAGACCGGAGCAGCAGGGCCCCCTGTTTGAAAGGCCCTGAAGCCTCAATCCTCAAAGGGGCTGTGGACCGGATGCATGAGCATCAGCTGGGAGCTCAATCTCAGTGGCACAATCTCGGGCCTCACCCCACACTACAGAATCCAAATCAGCACCATTTAACAAGTTCCCCCAGGGGATTTGTATGCACTTCTTTAAAGGACATTCAAATCCTATTATCACCCATGTTGGAACCAGATCAAGAGATTCTGGAGGATCAGTAAATTACATTTGTTACTATTTAGAGGCAAGGCCCTTGAGTCCCAGAGAAGATCATGAACCTGCCCAAGGAAGAGAAAGGAAGAGATTATGTCCTGAGACCTGCATCAGGAGCAACCCAAACCCCCACAGTGGATACACCCTGTGTTCTTCAGAGATCCAGTAGACAGGAGTGGGGCAGGTTCACATGAGATTATATAAGTCTGGGGCTGGTGGGAACTTGTGAAAGGATTTAAAAGGTGTCTCGAGGGGGTACCCTAATGCTTTCGAGGTGATAACAGCACCGAGGAAGGAACCGAGAGAGCTCCCCTGGATCAGTAGTCTCCCCTGCCCAGCTCTGTAGTCCGCTGTTGTGACCTCGTGGGGTGTGGACGCGCAAACCCAAGGAATGCCTTGGACTGGGCTATGAACAGCGCCCTGGGAGTGTGGAATGTTGCCGCCCTGCGTCTCTATGGCAACTTGCCCATTCCTAAGTTGCTGCTTGTGACGTGTGAGACCACTGTTTCCCTGCATTAGAAGGAGACTGCAAAGCTAATGTGAGCATTTCTGCCACCCCACGCCTGCTCCACGTTCCACACCACGGTGGGAAAAGGGCAGTGGTGGATTCCAGCAGAACTGGGCTGGGTGCCAGTTCTGCAACTTCCAAGTCACTTTACCATGCTGAGCCTGTCTCTTCACCTGAAACTTATGGGATGATAGTACATATCATAGTAGGATAAATATAAAATCTGGCACATGAAAGGTACTCTGTAAATGATAGCTTTATTTTTGGCCATATGCTATCACAAAAATCCACCTACGAATGATCCACCTAATGAGTGATATTTGAATATATATTAGGATAATGCCTCATGTGACCGACCCTAGGCTAAGGATGAATAAATAACTCTCCAGCCTTCCCTATCAATACAACTGACACCACTTTCTCCATCTGATGCACCCGCCTAGTAATTCCACAAAACTACTGGGCAGACATCTACGGACGACCTTCTCTCTGCGGGTGCTGGGTCCTTGCTGGGTTACAAAGATGAATAGGATGCAGTATTCACTCACAGATTTCAGAGTTTACTCTGAGCCACAAGACCAAAACCAGTAACTTACGAAACAATAGGGTCAGAGACGTGATAGACGTAGATGAGGAGGTTCATGCAGATAAAGGAGTTATTAATCCTATCACAGAAGACCAGGAGGAGCTACAAAAAGGCATGAGAAGGAGTAGTCCCCCCCGGGGTTAGGAGGTAGGGGAGAAGGAGGAGGAGGTAGGCAGAGGGAGAAGTGGGAACAAAGGAAAAGGGGTGTGAAATCGATAGATAGAAAAGGGCCCCGTATCATGACACCTTATTTCAAATCCCATCTCTACCATTTGAAATAAGCAACCACAAGCAAACTACGTAGCTTCTCTTTGCCTCAGTTTTCTTACCTACCAATCAGGTAAGATATTAATCGTTGCCTCAAACGTGACGAGGAAATTAACTGGGGAAGTATGCACAAGAGCCCTTCGCATAGGGCTTGGCACACAGTTGGTCCCAATAAGGAATAATGGAGGAATGAGGAGAGTACAGTAGCAGAAAGTAGACTGAGGAGGCTGAATATGGCCCCAAGGAAAGTTCCAGAATGGATTTCTTAATGCATAAGCTAAAAATCCTTGCTTTCTTTTGTGAGAAGCAAGCACATATTTGCGAAGAATAATTCACAGCAGGGATTGTGTGATTTCTGGCCAGACTTCAGAGGCCTGTGAAATCAGGGGCGCACCGCACACATTGAATTTTATCCCTTAGACCTGGAACATCTGAACCTGAGCAAGCCCTTGATCAGCTATTTCCTGATAATTAAGATTAAGATAGAAAAATACGAGCTGGATTATAGTAACACAGGCGGAGTTGTTTTCTGGTGCTTCCTCCGGTTTTAAGCAGCGTTAACTGTGCATGTTGAGCAGACGACCGAATGTGAGCTTTGCCTTCTCACTTGAGCTCCAGTCCCAACTCAGCCACTTCATAAGCCTGCGGATTTGGAAAGCCCCTTAAACTTAGTCATCCATAAAATCGGGGAAGTAAAACCTCAGGAAGGGGTTGGAAGATTAAATGAGGGTATATACCGTACCTGCGCTGTAGTCTCAGTGATTATTCTGTTGAGATATGACTTGTTCTGGGGCCACACATTTGACCTCAAAGCAACTGAGTGCTGATTTCATGCCTCCTTACCTACCCTGGGCTCCCTTTGACTGTGATTATTCTACATTTACCAGGTCAGAGATGGTCTTGCATGCGACAGAAGCCTGAACGAGGATGGGGGCTGATCTGCTCTGCTTTTCCCTGACCTCTGTTATCCCAGCAGGTCTGATGGGCCTTGTGACCAGGCAGTGCGCCTGTTCTTCCCGTGTGGCTTTGGCTCTAAGAACAGTTACTTTGGCTACCCTTGGTATTTTTCACAAGTCTTGGCCCCCTCAGGGATTTCATGTCATCGAATCTCTTCTACGGGACCTGCAACTTCAACATCGTTGGTGCTGTCCTTTGAATCCCTTGGGGCACTTTACGGGTATTCACTGAGGTTTCCCTAGACCAAGGTTTTCCAAAATGGAGGTTCACAAATCAAATTTAGTAGATTATGGCCAGCATTGTGAAATGAATGAAATAGAATTGAATAGAAAAGTTAAGAATGTATTACATGTATTAGGATGAGTATCCTTTTGTGAACCTGTTTTAGGGTGTGTGCGCGCGCGCATGTGTGCGTGTGCGTGCATGCGTGCGGGCGTGTGCGTGTGCGCGCGCGCCATGCAAAATCCTTTTCCTAATGCAGCGTCCTTTTGCCTTTTATTTCTTTATTGTGAACTTTTGTAATTATAATGTCAGATTCCCATTTTTTAAATACCTTGTAGCTTCTCAGGTCATGGGGGCAGAGCCCAACTTTCCCTTGAAGTCTCCTTTGTAAATTCAAGTTCATCATTCAGGGAACCACCCTCTCTCTGTTCACAGGCCAGGACTTCTGCAGCTATTCATTCATCTCTGGAGCTCTAGCAACTGGGCTGGTGGTTCTCCACTCTGGTTGTGCTTCAGGATAAACTGTGGTTTTTCCTGTTAACAATGATTAACAAAGCTAATTGCTAGACCCCACTCCCAGCCTGTTAGGTCAGACCCTCTCCAAAGGTGGGTGGAATTGATGGCCAGCGCCATGGCAGTAGGAACATGTTACATTTTTTCTGGATGAAAGATGGAGCACCCCAAATCCCTATCATTTTATACCATCTTAAGAATTTTATCCAGAGTGTCCCCTAGCCCAACCTCTTCCTCTGTGAGACTAAATTATCAGTAAGGCAAGTGAAGAATTTCTCAGCCTATCTTTAGCCAAATAAGATTTCTGGGTATTCTCGAATAATCATTGCTACTCGCTAAGGACCATATTGTATCATTAGTTCTCAAAAAAAGTGTTGATTGTTTAAATCTCTTGGCCGTGCTGATGTTGTGGGCCAGTTCTTTTAAATGCCTCAACAATAGTTTTGCTCTGCTCAGGCAGCCGGCTGGTACGTCCTTCCCACATCTGGCCTTTTTTCTTTTGTCCTGTGCTCAAATGTTCCCCGGGATGTTTATGCACTCAAATTTAATAAGTTGCTTTTGTGTGTGTGTGTGTGTGTGTGTGTGTGTGTGTGTGTGTGTGTGAAATGTCTTTTTATATGCTGGCCGTGGGTATGATTTTCTGAAGTTATAAACCCTTTAAGCACACCTGTGTTTTTCAAGTGACACACCCCAAAGCAGATGCCCAGTCCAGGCTTTGGAGCCAGACTGGCAGATGGGTAGGAGGCCCATCTGTCAGCAGCCCTAAAACATCAATGGAGTAAATTGGAACCATGTTGCTATTTAACCCAAATTTCCACATAGGACTCCTTACACAGCTGATGAAATAGTTCCTATTCCTGCCAAAATGCGCAGAGCTCTGGAGAGGACATGATGTATTTCCTTTGTGGATCTGTCCACCTCGGCTAAATAAACACTGAATGTACCCAGAGGCCCCACAGGTCTTATTCTGACCTTGTTTGGTAGAATCACTCAGACTCCAGGGACCGCTAACCCCGGGGTTGAAACTCAGGCAAAGTCCAGTTGAGGAAAACTGTATTGGCAGCTAACTTTTGCAACTTAATTGCAATTTCTGAATAGTTTTCGGTGCGTTTTATTACTTTTTTTTTCTCCCCCAGAACACGACTTAATGCCTTCCGAGAAGTAACACCAGTCGAACTTCCTAACTGTAATTTAGTGAAAGGAATAGGTAAGTATGTAGAGAGGAGGAAGTATCTCATTGGAACTTGCAGTATTATCTTGCTATTGATTTGATTAATACACCTGTTTAGTTTTGTTAAAAAAATAGAACCATGAACCAGGAGAGAATGATTAAGTCAGTAGTTAATTATAAATACCAGCGTACTTGACTTTTGACTTCACCAACATATGGCCAAGGTATTGATGGTTTTTCATAGTTTGTTTTTGTTTGGTCAGTTTAGCAAAAACAATAAGTGAGAACAGTGTTTGATTTTATGGTAATACAACCTAAGGAGATTCCAGGGGAGGGACAGGGAAGGAGAAAAAGCAGTGAGTAAAGGGACAAATTTTAAAAAGCCCTCACACACCTTGGCAGTTACCGCAAGACTTGCCCTCATGCATCTCTCTTTTAAATGTGGGGTAAGAATATTTTTTCCCAGAAGTTCTCAGCAGATTTCCCCTCAGATCTCATTAGTCAGAGATAGACAACAGGCTGGGGCCCTAGCTGCAAAGGAAGCTGGGAAAGTAATTATGCGGCTCCCATTGGGGAAGGCAGGCCCTGTCAGCAAAGGTAAAACACCAGGGGAGTAGCAGCTTATAGGCAACCAACAGGGAGTGTCACAGGACTCAAGTCCCCGTCTGGTTTCAACCAACCTATTTTGTTATTTGAGGACAACTTGTTTGAGATCCATGCTTTGGATGTTACGTTTTGTTTTGCTAAGTTTAGAATTATTTATCTCAGTTGACTAAGGAAGGAAAGGCTAGACCATATGACTTATTCAGTCAGCATCAATAAGGTTGGCCAGATATCTTACAGTGTAATCTTTCTCTAGAAAATAAATATGATATTGATATTATATGTCACTGGATATTTGAAAAACAAACATCTCCACTAAGAGTATCAATACAAAATCAAAAATCTCATTTGTCTCTAGGTTGATAGAGATTTTAAAAATGTACATGTAAAGTATAATTAGCTTGGTGATGTTTTACTGATGCTTAAAATTAATAGTGGATATGTATTTTGCATATGAAATGTATCCCCATTTTAACTGAAGAATTTGGAATCTGCCTATATTTCCAATATGGTTCTCAAAAGAATTTATTGGATTTGGAATTAAGTATTAATATATGTTGGTAGTTTACACTGTGTCTTTAACAAAACAGCAAGCTGTTTTCAAATAATTGTACCTTTTATAAATTTTGTGAATTTCCATGAACTTTATGTAAGAGATTTCAGACCCTGAGGAAAAAGTTCTAGTCCATTAATTTAAAAAATACATATTAAGTGTAAATTTTAATTACACTTAATTATAGCAGTGTCTTCTAATTTTTATAGACTCCTATTAGTCAATTTGAAGAAGTAAATGAAAGAGTTAATTATTCTGAATCTATCGAATAAGAGCTAAATATGTAGCCCCATTTTCTAGCTAAGAGTGGTAAAGAGAAGGATCCCTAGCTCCCTGCAGCCGTCCACAACACTCTGTCCTGACTATTCTCTCTTCTGGCAGAAACTGGCTCTGAAGACTTGGAGATACTCCCTAATGGACTGGCTTTCATTAGCTCTGTAAGTGGTTTCTTTCTTTACGGTGCTCTACGCCATGTTCTAGACCCAGCAGCTTAAGTCTTTTGTTTAAGCTTGCTATTTTCCAATGCCCACCTTCAAATAAAATAAGCAGTCATATGGTTCAAAAAACAAATAGTATATACATTTTACACCGGTGTTAAAATTATGGCTGTATGCCTTCTAGGCATATGTGTACTCCTGTCTGTACGCTGAACTCAAATATGACCTTATCTTCCATTGTAGCAATTTCTGAGTCCAGTGAGTTCAAGAATGGCTTTCCATCGATGGTCTATCCCTTGAGACACTTAAGTGGTATAGTCAAATATTTACTGAATTGGGTGTATGTTTCTATATATCCCTCCACATGTCATTTAGATTTTACCTTTTTCTTTCACACTTTTCAAAATAAGCCCTTTAATCTAAAATTATTGATAGGCCATTCCACAATTTCCACACTTTGAAGAGTGAAGCCACCACGTTTGTTGAACCTCTTCTGCATACAAACCACTGTGGTGGTGACATAGCTCAAAAACAAAAGAAGTCAACAACCTTTGCTGCCTGTTGTAATTTATTTAGTCCAGTTTTCTCCTATGAAGATGGAAGACTAGTCATCTTCTCCAGCAGCGTCTTGCAAACCTCTTTTCTAAAGCAACAGAATAACATATTCCAAGCAAAATCTTATACGGGACCCCGGCATCTAAAACAAAAAACAGCTGTGTTGTTCTCATTGAAGGCTAAGAAAGAAGTTGTCTCTGGGCTCGCTAGACTTCCCCTAAAACTCTGTCCCTCAGATGCTTCCAAGGAACCTGCCAGGAGACATTTTAAAAACCATAACCAGTGTCCTCTCCATATTCCTTGCTTATATGATTGAAGCCCATTAGCAATTGCCCAGTTGGTCTACTTTTCCATTTTTGATCTTTCTCATGAGTTTGTGGTATGGGACACATATGGCTTTGCTGCTGGTGATGGAAGGGTCCGAGCCAGTGTGTTGTGTGGGGTGGACTGGTGGAACATGTGGCTTCCAGAACCCCCATGGGCCTATCGCACAAGCCAACCAAGAGGCTTCCCATGTGGCCCTGTGATGCGAAGCAGACAGTATGACCCCATGTGCCATCTACCGCCTCGATCAGCTTTTGAAGTATTTGTAATGGGTCTATTTTTTTCTTCTTTATGTTTCATAAGGGATTAAAATATCCTGGAATGAAGAGCTTTGCACCTGATAAGCCTGGCAAAATTCTTCTGATGGACCTGAATGAAGAAGATCCAAAAGTGTTAGAACTGAGGGTCACTGGAAGTAACTTCGATCAGTCTTCATTTAACCCTCATGGGATTAGCACATTCACAGACGAGGGTAACGCTATTTAATGCTTATTAAAAATAAAGCCAAAATTTAAAAAATGTTAAAGAGTGAATATTTCCTCTCATTCAGCTACAGTATAATCATGGTTAATGTTACTCTTCTGTTAAACGTAACCCCTATGTTAATGAAATATAATATTATAACCACTCTGATGCTTGAGAATGCTAAAATACTTGAGGTTTGTAAAGCACTTATTTTTTAAAAATACCAGCATTCACATTATCCCTATAATTATGGTAACAATAATATTTAGCTCTGATCATTATGGGTTTTCCATTTCAAACAATTGTTCTGATCTGGGAATTTACAAGGATAGATTTTTCTAACAGAAAGCATCAGCAACCTATAGATCCACTGACAGAAAGTTACCGTGGTCGGTTTTCTCTCAGCCCTGTCACTTTCCGTGCCCTTCTGTCCGCTGGTTCCTCTGTTTTGTCTTCAAACTACTCCTCCACATTTCAAAGCTATCAACATATCGCCCCCATCCCTCATGCCGTCCTTCCATTTCTTCCTTTCTATATGCAGCCGTCTGCTGCGTCTCTACGTGCACAGAAACCCCTGCGGGATTTGACATCAACTGCCTTTGTTTTCCTTTTACATTTTGACCCCCTGTTTTTCCTGCCCTGCACTCCCTACCTCTGGCAACCACCATCTATGAGCTTTGTATTTCACTTTTAGATTTTAATTCTATGTATAAAAGAAATCACTTGCTTTAGTTTCCGCCCCCCCCAACTTATTTCACTTAGCATAGTGCCCTTAAGGTCCATCCATATTGTCACAAATGGCAGGATTTTTGTTCTTTTACTTATGGCTGAATAATATTCCTCTGTGTGTGTGTGTGTGTGTGTGTGTGTGTGTGTGTGTGTGTGTGTTTATTCATCCATCGATGGACACTTAGGTTGTTTCCATGTCTTGACTCCTGTAAGTAATGCTGCAATGAACATAGGGAAGCATATAGTTTTCAAGTTAGGGTTTTCATTTTCTTTAGATCAATACCCAGAATGGGATTCCTGGGTTGTATGGTAGTTCTATTTTTAATTTTTCTTTTCTTTTCTTTTTTTAAAGATTTTATTTATTTATTTGAGAGAGAGAGAATGAGAGATAGAGAGCATGAGAGGGAAGAGGGTCAGAGGGAGAAGCAGACTCCTCGCTGAGCAGGGAGCCCGATGTGGGACTCGATCCCGGGACTCCAGGATCATGACCCGAGCTGAAGGCAGTCGCTTAACCAACTGAGCCACCCAGGCGCCCTATTTTTAATTTTTCGAGAAAACTCCACAGTGTTTTCCACAGTGGCTGCACCAGTTTGCATTCCCAACAACAGTGCATGAGGGCTCCTTTTTCTCCACATCCTTGCCAACACTTGTTATTTCTGGTCTTTTTGGTAATAGCCATTCTAATGGGTGTGAGATGGTATCTCACTATGGTTTTGATTTGCATTTCCCTGATTAATGATGTTGAGAATCTTTTCTTGTACTTGTTGGTTGTCTATGTGTTCTTTGGAAAAATATCTTTTTCAGATCTTCTGCTTATTTTTATTTTTTTAAAGATTTATTTATTTATTTGAGAGAGAGATTGAATGTGAGTGGGGTAAGGGGCAGAGGGAGAGAGAAAATCCTTCAAGCAGACTCTCGCTGAGCACAGAGCTAGACACAGGGCTCGATTCCAGGACCCCGAGATCATGACCTGAGCCAAAATCAGGAGTCGGACACTTAACAGAGTGAGCCACCCAGGCCCACCTCTTCTGCCCATTTTAAAATCAGATTATTTGCTTTTGCTATTGAGTTAAATGAATTCTCAAAATGGATTAAAGACTTGAATAGAAGACCTGAAACCATAAAACTCCTAGAAGAAAACATAGGCAGTAAGTTCTTTGACATAGATCTTGGAGATGATTCTTTTTAAATCTGACACCAAAGGCAAAAGCAACAAAAGCAAAAACAAACAAGTAGAACTACATCAAAGTAAAAAGCTTCTGTACAGCAAAGGAAATCATAAACAAAATGAAAAGCCAACCTACTGAATGGAAAGGAATATTTGCAACATCGTGTATCTGATAAGGAGCTAATATCCAAAATATATAAAGAATTCATTTAACGCAACAGCTCCCTCCCTCCCTCCCTTCTTTCTGGCCTTTTTTCCTTTCTTCCTTCCTCCACCTCGTTTATGCTGTTGACCACTTTCTCCCTCAAGTAAATTTCTCCTCCCCAATATTCCAATATACTTATTTAGCTTAGTTCTGATCCTACTGCAGGTTTTCCCCCCTGTTCATTGTTTTGTCACTCATTTGAAATTCTCTGCACACTCCCCAAAAGACTGATTTTTTGCCTCCTCTTTATTTGCTCTAGTTCAAAAAGTTCAACCAAGTCACAACCGTTAACTGTGCCTGCTTTCTGGGAGAATTCCCTTAATGGGGTATTCTTTATTTTTAATCAGCTCTTCAGTTCCATTCCTTCAAGCTTACCAGAGTATTCTATTTGATTCCTCTCCTATAGCTGCTTTAAACTCAACATGTTGAAAACTGATTTTCCATCCTTTTATCTTTCCACCCCGTATGACATCTTTTATATGTACATATATAGTCCCCTTTCAGTGACCTCTCCACCCATTTATCAACATTGTATTTTATTTTTAAAACATCAAGTGCAAAGAAATATACTGTTGGGTATGTGTACACTTTTAAGAATAAAAGGGAGTCATATTACCCAAACCCTTCTATAAAGTGCCTTTGCATTTAATATTACATTATGGACTCCTTTCTAGGACTGCATTTAGAGCTCCTTTACAATGACTGTTTAGGATTCAGATGCATGGGAGTGCAGTAATGTAGTTCTTCTGTTGATGGATATTCAGTCTGTTTCTGCCTTTATGTTCATTGTGAACAATGCCAAAATAAACATTCCTGTATATATATCTTCTGTGAGTATTTTCTTACGATAAATGCCTAGAGGTAGAATCTGCTGCACAAAACATGGCTCTGGGTTTCAGTGCTCACTCATGTTTTATTTTTGACTTCCTCATTTCTCAGCCATCATCAGGGACTTTTGATACTTCCTGTCAAATGTCTTCATATCCTTTCTTGCCACTTCTTGTCAGTGCCATCCTTCTGGCCCAGTCCCTTCCCCCCCCACACCTGGATTACTGCTGTAACTATAAGGTCATGTTACTCCTTGGCTCCAAGGCCCCAGTGAGTAATCCCTGGGTCCTTACCATGAGCCCTAACAAGACTGGCCTTGGCTACCTACCTTTTTTTTTTAAAGATTTTTTTTTTTTTATTTGAGACAGAGAGAATGAGAGAGAGAGAGCACATGAGAGGGGGGAGGGTCAGAGGGAGAAGCAGACTCTCCGCCGAGCAGGGAGCCCAATGCGGGACTCGATCCCGGGACTCCAGGATCATGACCTGAGCCGAAGGCAGTCGCCCAACCAACTGAGCCACCCAGGCGCCCCATTGGCTACCTACCTTTATGGCTGCAGGCTTCCCACTCTTTCTTTTACTCACTCTACTCCATCCACAAGCTCACTATTAAGAGAAGTGTCAAGGAAGCTCCTGCCGCAGGCCCTTTGCACACTCTCTTCCCTCACCTTGGAATGCTCTTTCTCCAGATACTCACATGGTTTGGTCTCCTATATCATTTAGGTTTCTGCTTTAACATCACTTCATCAGAACTTCCCTGACTGTCATGAAGAAAACATCTCATTACTCTTCATTCTTTTATCTGGTTTTATTTTCCCTATGTAGCACTTAATACCAATGAAAACAAACACTTGTTTGTTCAATGTCCTAACCACCAGGAAGTCTCCTGGTTGGCTTCTCTGTTTAAATCTCTTCATTTCAACCCACTAAACTTTGCATGGCTTTTCTTTAAACACCAATTTGGTCACATCAAACTCCCAAAGACTTACTGCTCCTTAAGGCAAAGACTGTAATAATCTAACTTCACTTGCCAACTCTAATCACACCTTCTTGACCAATTAAATTGGTCTCTTTTATGTCTTAAAGCTGGACTGACTCATGGAAGCTGCTTCCCTTTGATAGAATCTCTCAGGTGTTCTTTTTATGGAATTTATCATCTTACACCGTGTGGATTATACCCAAGCACCCCTTCTCATGTCAGTGTTCTCCACATCTTTTATCTCTTTTATCTCAACTCTGCATCTTGCTGAGACCATTTGCAATAGAAAGCTTAACAAGCTCTTTGGAGTTTTAGTGTCAAACGTTGCTCATTCTTAAGTTGAGGATTTTTTTCCCCCCTGTGGAGTTTGGAGGTGTTTAGAGACTGTCACTAGTTCTTCCTTTAGCCATTTTTTTCCTTTGGAGCAATCACAAGTGCTTCTCTCTACAAGGAGATGAAAATATTCCATCTGCCTGACACCCTAAGTACTAGTTGGAGGTGGGTTGAAATTGCTTTTTGGAGACAGGGCTGACAGCTGAGAGCTCAGTTAATGTTTCGATTTTTGTTTTTAATCTCTTCTCAGATAATACCATGTACCTGCTGGTGGTGAACCATCCAGATTTTAAGTCCACAGTTGAGTTGTTTAAATTTGAAGAAGAAGAGAAATCACTTTTGCATCTGAAAACCATTAGACACAAACTTCTGCCTAAGTACTGAGATATATCATATTTCGATTTTCCTTTAACACCAGTGGATGGTTAATCCACCTCTGGTTTTTCCTTTCAGCCAGAGTGGGAGGGGGGGATAATGGCTGGTCAACTCTCCTTTCTAATCATCACAAACTCCTCCAAATGGTCTTCTGCAGATACTTTTGAAGATTCAAACCCCTGAGAGAAGACCCGTTCTCTTCCTCTCTCATTTCCCAGGCTGCCTGGAGGCTGACTTATGGCTCTCAGCCTCAGAATGTCCATTCAAGATGTTATTAAGACATGACTCTGTTCTTCTCCAAAACCAGACTTAATATTTCAAACCCATACCAGTTTCACAGAAAAATTCCAAATCATGAGCAGGCTTATTTATTCATTTATTTCTTTTTGTATTAAAAAAATAGAATCTTAGATGTTTCCATGAATTAGAAACATATACCCAAGGGAGATCTGAGATCCAGTGCTTCTAATACCACCCCATCCTACCCCTACTGCTGTTTGGGCACCTGATTTATGGAGTAACCTATCTGTGGTTAACACTCAGCTCCAATCTTAGGCTTCTTGACAATGTAACACAAGGAAAAAGAAAACACCCAGGGATCCCTGATCCCCATCAACCCAACACAAAATCAACTTCCTCACTTGCCTTAGGATTTGGTTTGTGAGGCTAGTGAGGGATTTGGGACAAAAGTCTGACAAAGTCTTCCCAAACAATCTTTATCCTCTAGTCATTAAGATTGTCTAGAGTCCCAAACTTTATCTGAATGGTTAACAGACAGCATTGGAGTACCTCAGTATTGGAAAATCTAGATTTCTTTTAAACTGTGTGTTATTTACAGGCAGGGACCTAGCAGGGTGCCTGGCGCGCAGTGTTCCCAGGATCCCCTCCTCTCTTTTTTTATCTGGTGGTTTTGAAGATGAGGAAACTGAGATTGGAGAGAAATTGAGTAACTGGATGAAGGTCAATCTACTAATTAGCAGCTGCCTAGGAACTATGTGGCCCAAGTCTTCTGCCTCCCTAGGATGAGCGCAAATTCAGAGAGCGGCTTTCGGTGGAACAGGTTATTTATACATTCACTCAACAAATGTATTTTGGAAAGAGAATCAGTTTACTGAAATCTGGAGAATGTGCCACATACCAAGATCTAAATTAGGGAAAAGTATATAGAATAGAGAAGCTGGGCTAATAATAATTGTAATAATTGTGATAGTAACAATGAGATTTAACTGTAAGTTAGGTGCTACAATAACCAATTTAAACTGATTACTTTATTATCTTTTTACAAATACCTTCTTAATTAGGTGTTATTATTATGCCATTTTGGAGTATTTAACTTGGCCCAGATAATACCATCAGTAAAATGGCAAACCTGGAATTTTAACCCTGGTATCTTGAGGCTGAAGCGGGGGCTCTGAGCCACTCTGAAATAGTGAAAGCTTATTTTATTGGTTTCACAGTTAATCTTGAAGCCTCATATTTGTCCAGATTCCCAGGGTTAGGGTATTTTTTTTCTGGGCCAAGTGCAAAAACACATGTCTTTGGCAATATAGAAGCAAACTGGAAGAAAAAAACAAACATAGTGCCACAATTAACTAAAATTCTGCTCTCTCAATTGAAGGGCTAGCCATGTATATTTTCTGCTTTGTATTTAGTAGCTCTTTATGTGGTTGTTTATAGCATTAATATTCCTATTACTAATCTATCACAATTGAAGTATGTTATTAATGATAACACAGCAGTCATGATCAATCATCTCTAATAGCCAGGCATAGTGCCAAGGTCTTTATAGTCATTCTTTCATTTTATTCACCCTAACCTCACAAAGTCCAGAGAGAAACTGAGGTATAGATTTTAGTGGCACGCTGTGGTCCCATAGACAATAGCAAGCAACGTCAGCATTCAACTGGGGTCTATAAGATTTCAAAGCTATTACTCTGAAATAGTCGTCTCTGCTCTTTTTTACGAAAAACAGGCAAATGATTTGTAACGTATACTACTCACTTTGGAAATCTACTTTTAAAAACGAGAGGGGGGGAAAAGAGAGAGAGAAGAGGTTTATGCCTGGGCCTGTACACACTAATCCTAAATTCCTGGACCTTTTTTCTCATGTCCCAGTGGTGATCACCATTGACGAGGGTTCAGTGAGTGGCCGGCTTTCTACAAAGCACACAACAGGCATTGTCTTACTGTGATTTCCACTGAGACTCTACAAATTAAGACTCTGACCCTTAGTCTTATACTAATGAGCTGTAGGACTTTGGGAAAATTGTTTAACCTCTCTTTACAGATGAGAAACCTGAAACTGTGTGCTTATCCACCTGGCCCAGGAGCCCAGGACTGCGTCAGAGCTGATGTGCCCGCCATTACGCCCTCAGCAATGGAGCGGAGATAATTCTCTACCAGATAATAGCCCTGGGGAACTTCTGTCACCTCAATCAGCAGAGAATGACTCACTTATGTGTTCACTGTTGTACCTATTAAAGCAGAAAAATAGACTCATATATCTTAGATTTTCAGTAACGGAGAGAGAATCAAAATCAGAAAGAAAATATGCCATAGTGTCCCTTTCCTGAACATTCTTGCTCGTGGACATTTTCCTCGGTTTAGAATCCTAAGGCCGGAAGTGACCTTCTAAGACTGAAATATACAGCAGTCCATCTCATCCTCCTTTTACAGTTAGGGAAACTGAGGCCCTGACATGCAAAATGATTACTTTTACCTAAATAGCACAGCTAATCGTGACAGAGCTTTAACTAAAATGCAAGTCTCAAGATGGCCAGTGTTTTTTCCTCCCTCTGCCTGATGATAATCCCAGACTGTTCTATGTGAGAGTGACTTCTGTATGAACATAAATGCATTTTGCCCTGATAATGATTCCTGGCCTAATTTAATGTCTACTGAATGTAGTATATCTACACACGCGCACACACACACACACACACCCGTGCACGCACACACACCTACACATGCACACGCGCATGCGCACGCACACACACGCGCGCACGCACGTGCACACACACACAGGCGCAAAACACGCACACACGCACGCATGTGCGCGCACACGCGCGCACACACACACACACGCACCCCAGAGCACTATTTTTCAGATACAGTTAATAGGATTTTTATGTTACATTGCTATAGTAACCTTTTAGGGTTTTGTAAGAGTAATTATTGTCTTTGAGGATCCTACAGGTGGGATTGATGTCATATGAATTCTGTGCCATAACGGCTAGGGTGAAAGCTTCATCTGCATCTTGATTTTAGAAACAGCCATTAATGAATGCTAATCAATGCCTAATCCTGTAACGTACAAGACCTTCACTTGTATATATCCTATATGTGTGTTTGAATTTGCAGTTTGAATGATATTGTTGCTGTGGGACCTGAGCACTTTTATGCCACAAATGATCACTATTTTGTTGACCCCTACCTGAGATCCTGGGAGCTCTATTTGGGTTTAGCGTGGTCTTATGTTGTTTACTATAGTCCAAATGAAGTTCGAGTGATGGCAGACGGATTTGATTTTGCTAATGGAATCAACATCTCACCTGACGGCAAGTATGTGAACTCTTTAAAATGTCATTCATTTCCCCAGATTCTTATTAGACACTGTTAGAACATACTCATTTTCTAAACAACATGATATGCTCTAACATGTTATCCTGGTAAGAGGAAATTAGGAAGAATGTAAAATATCTTAATTTCTCAGGGGATAAAACGTATCAAATCAAAAATTTCTATTTTGTGTAGGCATATTCTTTTAAATTTGGGGGTAGGGATGAATATATCAAGGAGGGGAACTGTGATAAACATTTAGTATTTCTCAATAGCTTTGTTTTGAGGGAAGAATTTTGAGGCCGTAATAAGATTAACAGCATGTAGTTATATATTTCAGTAGTGCTGGTTTGTGACAAGATAAAAAGCTTGCACCAAAATGTAAATCAAGACACTGCTTTCTCCATCAAGAAAGTTTTGCTGTGGGGGGAAAGTCAGCTTAACTAGGCATTGCGCTTCACAATGTAGTTGATTTACATTATTATTTGATGATGCCCCCGAAACAAACAATTCACAGAGCAACACTGGTTGGGGGACCACACTTTGGGTAACATCAGTCTATCCACAAAAGCCATGTATCCGTCATATATAGCCTTCCTCATCTTTTATCATCACGGATTTCAGAGGTTAGTAACATAATTAGAGGAAACCATGTGGATGGCTTTCAAATATTTATAGCATCTCCTGGTCTTCCAAAGTAGCAGATAATACGCAGTTATTTCTCTCTTTGTTCTGGGCTGCACTGACCACATGTCTTTACGATGAGTGGGGCGTTGCACTGCATGCAAAATACTAAATGCACAGGGTCAGGACCAGGCTCAGGGTGAGAGGGGAGGAAGACTTCTCTCAGATCCAGGCCAAGCATCTTGTCTTCTCCCATACTTTTTCTGGCCTAAAACAAGGGCCTGGTTGTCAAAGCGTTCTCCTGAAGCCTGCCCGAGAGAACTCGCTATCCTCTGACATGCAGAACCTGGGGATTGTCACTATATTGACAAGTGAAGAGAAGTAATATCATACATTTTCCTCCCAGATATTAAGAGCTGGTACTAGGGCTACGTTTCTTCCCTTCTAATCAGGGACAACTAGGTTCCTACCTTTAGAAACAACTTTTCAGAAACGAAAATTCCTTTGCACATTGTAAACTTGCTGAGTTGTTTCTTCCAGAATTTGGTGTGCTTTTAGAGAGGTTGCATTTTCCAGTCTCTAAGCGAAGTTCTTTCCTAGGAAAGGTTCTTACAACTTCACCGTAACTTTCTGAGCTGTATTACTTCAAGTGCTTTGATGTAGCTCTTTCTTCTTTGAAGGTATGTCTATATATCTGAATTGCTGGCTCATAAGATTCATGTGTATGAAAAGCACGCTAATTGGACTTTAACTCCATTGAAGGTAAGATGTATTAACACTATAAGTTTGCAGAGTGATAATTAGATTCTAAGTGATTTGTGAAATTAAAAGTGAGCAAAAAAGGACTGTCTAATTGGAGTGGGTGAGAACCAATTTTTCATTTCTTTATTAAGAGGCAACAGCATCATGTATGTTTGTTGTTCACTTTTGCTCAACTGCGGAATGGGAAGCAGCAAGCCAGTATCTCACCTATCAAACTTTGATTCTTTCTGCCCGAATGAATCCTCATTGCTCAGTTTCCCTTCCCTTCCTCTGTCCCCTTTCTCCCTGTCTTTCATTTTTCCCTCCATGTTGATGAGATAGCCAAGAAATCACCTCAACTGGTATTTCGTGTGACAATGCTCTCCATAATAGTTATAAATAATGTAAATCTAATATGAAGCCCAGTAAAGTATCAAGGACTCCCAGTGGCCACTAAGCAGCCCTGCAGCCCAGCACTTTGCTACCTTTGTCTCCAACACCTCCTCCGGCTCAGCCTCACCCTCCTGAGCTCACCAGGTGGTTCCCTCGGCTCCGGTGATCTTCCTCCAGATCTCAGTGGCTCTCTCCTTCATATCCTTCCAGTTCCCACTAAAATGTCACCTCAGCGAGACCTTCCCTGGCTACCTAATCTAAGCTTGCAACTCCGCTCGCCTACCTACACACACCCTGATAGTTTGCAAGCTCAGGCACTTCCTGGTCCAGTCCGAACCACCCTCTTCCCCTGCCTCCACACAGAGGGCAAGGGGAGACCGAGAAAGAGGCAGGCCCCCTCCAGATCAGTAGGTGGCAGGTTTAATAAACAAAGGCACTTATTTACTTATTTACTTGGCTTGTCTTGGGCAGCTGCAAGACGAGTAGCTCTCCGCACCTGCCCACCGGAATCTTAAAAGTTTATTTAGAGGCCTTAATGGGGGCTCCGTCACATACACCGCGCAGAGGGGCTCGACAACACTCTATGTCAAGGCTGTGTCCTTAGAATGGCTCCCACTGTGCCAACAGTGGGCAGAATGCACATTTCAAGGACAGGGAAGGGGACGGGGAGCCTTCAGTTGTCCAGGTCCAGCTTGAGGTTCAGCCAGGGCTCGTGTCCTCTCAATGACCTCCTCCAACACTGCATCCCTTGCAACAGCTCTTACGATCTCATATACCCCCCTCTTCTGCAACGTGCCCTGAGCAGTCAGAGAGGGGGCTCACTAGCTTGGAGGCAGCGTGTTTAGTGGCTCTCTGGCTACACCGGAGGCAGACACCATAGCGAGGGTACAGGCACATGCAAGGGAGAACGCAGATTACAGCAGTGATTCCCCAAACCAATGGCAATTTTTTCATCCAAGAGTCCCATGATCCGAACCACGGATTTATTAAATCCCCCAAGCTGAGGGGCAGATCACTCCAGGCATTCACTTGTGTCCTCATGGGATTTAAAAAGATGACACACTAGCAGACTCATCAGGCGTGTACACACGACATTCTGTTTGGATAATGGCAAAGAGGTGGCCATAGTGTTCGAGGCCATCCGATTTGGGAGGACAGCTTTTATAATTAGAGACAGTTCAGTGTTCAGTAAGGACAGGCTTTTTTGGCTCTCATTTAAGGCTTATTGGATGAATTTGGTCAGGACCTTGCTTGGCTGTTGCTTGGGTGCTGTTTAAAACACGTCGGGCATGCTATTACTGTGTTCACCAAGTCCCTCTATTTTGAGGGCAATAGAGCATCTTTGGAAATACGCGCTCCCACTGGGCCACTGGGGTGGCTACTTTTTTATGCATCCAGTCTCTGTATCTCCTAAAACGGCTTGTTGCTATAACTTATGTCCACGCTATGAGCTTCCTGATTGCCAGAGGGTGTCAGCCCCGCATGAGCTGGGATGTGGAAGGCAGTGGGGACTGCCTCAGGTTCCTGCAGGCAGACTCAAATGTTTTTCCACATATCCTGCCCCACCGGAGCTTACTACCATCATCCACCCCTTGGCTTGCCACGGTCCCAGCCGCAGGATTAATCCCTCTAGAACAGCCCAACTGTCAATGCAAAGGGTCACCTGTCAGGGCTCAGGAGTGATCACCAGCCAAACAGCCCCTAGTTCAGTCCACGGGCCGCGGTTCCTTCCTGCTTCCATCCAGATGGTGTCAGTGTTGGGCTGAATAGCAACTGCAGTTCATGTGGATGGATTCCCTTGACTAGATCCATCCCCCACTCCCTCTCTACAAGCTGCAAGGGCTGCCATGGAAGGAGGCAGTCGATGCATCTGGAGGATCGACGTACTCTACGGGGCCAGTAGCCTGTGTTTCTAGAGACCGTGGGCTGATGGGCAGGGTGCTCCCGAGCTGCGGATAGGAACGCCACTTCGTCAACATGGGGGTCTGAGCCATGGCAGAGATGCGTGGCTGGAACATATTCCCAACCCACCCTTTGATAAGAAAGGCAGGTCTTACTTGGATCTCCTCTTCGTTCCTGACAGGCTCCCTGCCCTGGAGCAGTACTGCGTATACTGCTCGGAGGTGTTGCTCTAGGGGTACATGGAATTTTCTGTCCCCTTCCAGAGATGGGACCAAAATCCTAGGGGTACTCTGTCTTTCCGTTATCCCCACCACAGTGCACAATCCTTCTGGAGTCACAGACACATCAAACTCAAATAGTATCCCTGCTCACGAGATGCCCAGAGCTGTAATCTACTTCACTAGTATGTTTGCTTTCTCAAAGGTGACTTGCTGTCCTGATCCCCAGTCCTACACATGTCCTTTCTTTATCAGTCCATATCAGAGACAGAGACATGATGCCAGATGGGAAATAAAAGCCCTCCAAAACCCCCAAATCCCTACAAAGGTTTGCACCGCTTTCAAGTTCTTAGGGGTTGTTAAGCTTGCGCCTTATCAACCACAGCTTCTGGAACGTGTGTCTTGCCCAACCCGATGACTCCCAAAACCTTGGGGCGGTTCCTGGGTCTTGAATTTTCTGTGGGTTCATGACCCATCTTCTCCCTTGCAGCAGTTCCAGGAAAGCCTGCGGAATGCCCTGCAGCATGTTCTTGGATAGTTTCTCCTATCTCTTTATGCCCCCAAGCAATTTATATTGATTAACAGCTACCATTTTTCGAAGGGGTGGCAGGCCTACTGGTTCCCAGTGGGTGTTTCCCCTCGGCACTGGTTTGATTACTCGAACCAATAGATTCCCTGGTATTGGAGAGAGAAAAACTTCATATTCCTGGGGTAGTAGGGAGGAACACTAAATTCGTCAAAGAACTTCCTTAACCATAACCATTCGCTCTCTGTAACCATTGGTGGTGCTGAAAACTTCTGAGGTTCACCGTGTGTTAGAGTTCATTTGGATCCAGTGTCCACCAGAGCTGTCAGTCCTGGAGGACCAGTGAAGAGTGCGTTCAACCTGAGGCCTCTGATCATCTCTCCCTGCCCTCACTTGGAGGCAGTCCTGGCCTGTACCTATACCAACCCAAACAGCACTGCATTCCCGAAGTTTCTGCTGGAGCAGGCAGGGCATCAGGGACGGTAAGGGGCAGATGGAGCAGGTCTGAATTGTTGTTCAGGTTTTATGGCTTTCCACCGGCCAATGAACACAGTGTTGGGTTGTCAGTTTTTCTGTTCAGGTGAAGTCCCTACGGCAATGAGGTTAAACCACATTTGTTTCTGGGTTATTTTTACTGGACCTTTGCAGCCCTTCAGCATAGCCTTTAGGTTTTATGGGTGATCTCTCTGTATCAGGTCTTTCCCACAGCCCGTACCAGTCCCGGGATTTGTCAGTTTTCCCCATACCAACAATGGATTGCCCAACATTATAAATATCTTGTCCCACAACTGGTCTCAACCTGGACATGAGTGTCCCATAACAGGTGTTGGGGCGGACCGGAGTATACCACTTTTCATTCTTGCCGTGAATGTGGCCTGATTAGGGCCTTCAAAGACAGAGGCTGAGGTTGCCTGTCTCATTCCCAACTCCCTAAGGATTGTTGTACCTCCTCTGTAGATTTTCAGGGTTCTACATGCCCAGGGAGGTGCCCCTCATTGGGCCAAACCTCCCTGCAGGCTAGAATAAGTCAGTCTATAAGAGAGTGAGTACTTTGAACCTTTGAGCGCCATGCCGGTGCTGCTGGGGAGCAGGGTGTGTGGTGAAGTTGCTCATTTTCTCTGCTTCCTGCCCAGAGAAATGCCATCTCCCCCGTATCCCATAGGTGCACTAACCATGCTGGGATACTTGCCCTGGCCTTTTGCTGGAACTTGGCAGCTGTATCAATAAGCTCCGTGGAAGTACATTCTCTCTTAGTGAAGGTTTCCTCAGTTGGAGGCCGCCCCGCTGGCTGGGGTCGTTGTGGTGCTTTTGCTTTCCTTTGTACTCGGGGTTGGACAGCATGGGGCATTTCGTTCACTTCACAACATGTCCCCTTCCCTCTCCCCCATTTTCCCAGGCATTCCACCTCTTAGTGTCCCAATCAGACCTTGTCACAGCGCTCGGACCTTAATCTTCGGCAGCTTGGGCCCTCCCAGCTTTGTAAAATGGCATGCAAGGTCTTCAACTTATTATTTGCTCTCTCCCCTTGTCTGCCAGCCCTGAAGCTACAGAGTAGTGGGCACCCACCTGTCCTTCTCTAACTTACTTTTTTAAATTTAATTTATTTATTAAATAGTATTAAATATTTATTAAATATTAAATATTTATTAAATAGTTGACACATTAACTTCAGGTGTACAACATAGTGATTGGAGAACTCTGTACATTACTCCATGCTCATCACAAGTGTCATCACTGTCTGTCACCACTGTCACCATACGATGGCATTACAGTATTACTGACTATATTTTTCATCTCTGTGACTTATTTATTTTATACCCAAAGTTTATACCTCTTCATCTCCTTCACTTATTTTGCTATCCCCCCGCTGCCTTCCTTCCCCTCTGGCAACCCCCAGTTTGTTCCCTGTACTTATAAGTCTGTTTCCCTTGTTTCTTTGTTCATTTGTTTAGTCTTTTTAGATTCCACAGATAAGTGAAATCATATGGTATTTGTCTTTCTCTGTCTGACTTATTTCACTTAGCATAATCTCCTCTAAGTCAAGCCATGTTTTTGCAAATGGTGAGATCTCATTCTTTGTTATGGCTGAGTAGTGCATTAAATCAGCGGGCATGTGGCCGTCCCCAAGCATCTGCCATGGGGGCCACCCTTCCCCACGTAGAGGTCAATGGCCAACTCAGGATTTTCCCCAAGGATGCCTCTTTCCTAAAGCCCATTTCTCTGGTCTTCTGGCTGGCTCACCAATTACTAGTTTGTAATCTGGGGAGCTTCCTGGGCGCAATCTGAAACTGGTCCATTGCCCCATACACAGAGGGCAAGGAGAGGTCAAAAAAGAAGTCAGACCACTCCGGATTGTGGGTGGCAGGTTTAATAAGCAAGAGAAATTGCATACAAGGCTTGTCTTGAGCAGCCCTGAGACAAGTAGATCTCCACACCCACCGACCAGAATCTTAAAAATTTATATAGAGGTCTTAACTGGATTCAGCCACATATACTGTCCAGATGGTCTCAATAACACATTACTCTCTCAAGGCTATGTCCTTGGAACAGCTCCCACTGTGGAAACAGTGGAGAGAATGTACATCCCAAGGACAGGGGAGGGGTTAAGGAGCCTCCAATTGTCTGGCTCCAGCTTGAGGATCAACTGGTGATCACGTCCTCTCGATGAACTCATTACTAATATTATATATTTTACTTATATTTTATAAGTGAAATACTATATATTTTATTTGTCCTCTCTATTGTCTGCCTCTTCCACTAGGGTGTAAGTTCCAGAAGGACGGGGTGTTTTCTCTTTGTTCCCAGAAGAATTCCCCACACATAGTAAGCACTCAACAAAGACTTGTTCAATTAATACGATGGAGCTGGGTATGCTTCAGGGGTTTCTCTTCTACCCCCACCGATTATGATCTGATCTGAAGGTTTGGGTCAAAAGAGGTAAACACACAAAGGAGAGGAAAGAGAAAGTGACAGTAAAGTGGAGCAGTGTGAAAGTAGTCCCCTGTCCCTTACAAACAGGACCTGACTCTCTTGCCGAAGTCGCCCCCAGCCTGAGGCACTGTCACCAGGCACTGTGGGGCTGTTCCCGTCAGTACATCCAATGTACTGTCATGAGGGGCTTCACTTTGAGAAAATTACCTCAAAGCAGTATCCAACGTAGCATCATGTTTGACATGAAAAATCACTGGCATGGCCAATTTAGTATTAGCTGAAGTAAAATGGAATTTTACACACTCCTACTGGCTGAGGGAATGAAAACAAATGGTGGTTGTAACAATAAGTACTTCTGTAAATTGAAAGTTAAAGGATTTTATGAGAATAGAGCCCAATCCAATATATATTCGACACAGAATGATAAAGACACTGGTCCTGCCAAGGACCTATTTTAGATTTGGCTCCCACTTTTGGCAACAGGTAAGGCCACTGTCTCCTGACATAACAATTCAGTTGAGTCTACCTCTGTGACTGTAATGTTCTTTTTTCTTTTGAAGGAACAGATTAATCAAGACCAGTTAATTCATTAATACCTGAAGTGTCAGGGAATTTGATAAATGAGCTGAGACTGATCTTAGAATTTGCGATGAGATGTGGGTAGGTTTATGTCCTGTCAAAATGTGGTATACACATACAATGGAATATTATTCAGGCTTAAAAAGGAATGCAGTCCTAATACATGCTCCAACATGGATGGAACTCTGAAGACCTTATGCTAAGTGAAGTAATCCAGACACGAAAGGACAAATACTGTGTGATTCCACTTATATGAGGTTCCTGGAATAGTCAAAATCATAAACAGAAAATGGAACAGGAGTTACCAGGGGCTCACGGAGGGAGGAATTGGGAGCCATTGGGTACAGAGTTTCTCTTTGGGATGATGAAAGTTTCTGGAAACGGATAGGGGGTAGCACTTGCACAACCCTGTGAGTGTACTAATGTCACTGAATTGTACCCTTTAAGATGGTTAAAATGACACATTTCATGTTATGCATATTATACCTCAATAAAATAATCCCCTTCTCCACAAAAAGAAAAAAAAAAGATTCCAGGGCACAGCCAATGAATCAGTCCCACTTCAGTGCATTCCCATTCTCTAAAAATTGGGATATTTGTTAACAGAGGACACAGTTTTTTCCAATGAGAATCATTTATTAAGTTTCCTTTATCAAGAAATTTACCATCTTCCACCTGGCTTTGTGGAAGCTTGAAATGTGTCCGTTGCACGCATTGTGGTGAGTGAGTTTTGCTAGGAATTAGAGATTTGCAAGACAAGAGTTAATTACTGGGCCCAAAAGGGGCTCCCTGCTGGACTGTCAGCCCCTCCTAGGCAGGAGCCCGGCCTGCCACTTACCTACCCACTCTCCCAGGAGCTGAGCTGCTTGCAGAGCACATGGTCGGAGCTCAGTAATTGTGTGTCACATGAATGGGGCCCCCCGTCTTCTCTCACCCCCAGCTCACATCTCTGTAGGCTTTCAACGGCCATGCAATTCACCCATCGGCTGTTACCCCTTCCAAAGATAACAGCACAGAACCCGGAGACACACATTTTCCTCATCTAAAGAAAATGGCGGGATCGGTGTAGACTATCTTGACACTGTGATGGAAGGGGGCTTCGGGAGACAGAGAAGGCCTGGGGCTGATTTTGGCCAGAGGATGTCTGCTTGGCCACCTCCTTTGGCCAACCTGGATGTCTCCAGGGTAAGAATGAATGATGGCTCTGGATGGAGGCTCTGCTGAGAGACTTGAGCCCTGCAGCCCCTTCATGGACGTGGTGGGGAGAGGTCTCATCTTGGCCTTTTGGCTAAAATCAAGTGTAGAGTAGGAAGTACGGGGCAGGGCCGCCGCGTTGGTTTGCTGCAGCTGCCTGCCCACACTCTGGCCTCTGCGGTGAGTCACCACCAGCTATTACATGGTCTCTGGGCGCTGAGGGATGCTGGCCTCTGTTTGAGGTACATGGTGGATATTACTTCTGCAACGGAGAGCTAGGGGTAAACAAATAGATGTGATTTCTCCCCAGTAGAAGGCAGCCAAGATGATGAATGGTGGAATTAAGAATCATTGGTATTATTTATGATCCTGGTATGAAGCCTCGACAGCAATCTGTGCAGTCGTGACGTGCTTGCAACTTATATTTAGAAAATAAGCAGCAGAAGAACAGGGAGTTGAATAACATCAGAAAACTAAAGAAGAAACCTTTCCCCAACTCCACGGCAAAAATTAGACCCTGGGTGATCATTTCTCCTCTGGCTGCACAGCCTATGATTAGCCATTAAAGAAGAGCCTGCATTTCATCGATGTGCTCATCAAAAATGAATCTACATTGCCCGGTTGTTTTTTGAATGCTTGTAAAAATATCATTTGCACATGCCGTTTTAGAAGGAACTGTTTTACGCCGCGCTTAAAAACTTTTTCTTCCCTTCGGTTTTAGGTTCATGCGCAGATGTTAGTCCGAATGATTTCATCGGACTTCTAACAATCTTGCTTGGCCTTCTGCATCTTCCCCTTCCCTCCTCTGTCCTGGAAACTGATGAAATGCTAGCACAGATGGGGAGCCTGAGGAATTCCCCAGGCGCTATTGAAATGCAGCAGAATTGTGTTCTGGAACCAGCAGCATGGCGACTGAGGGGGACAAGATGATAACTTCCCCATGTATTGTGCCGTCACCTCTCAGTTGTTTTCACTTTCTGTCCTTCCTTCTCTCCCTGGTTTTAACCTGGAAGTCCCTGGACTTTAACACACTCGTGGATAACATATCCGTGGATCCTGTGACGGGGGACCTTTGGGTTGGATGCCATCCCAATGGCATGAAGATCTTGTTCTATGACTCGGAGAATCTTCCCGCATCAGAGGTTAGTTTGAAAAATGAAGCAGATCAGCGACCTTATTCCCCGCTGTTTCTCAGTTGGAAACATAAATCTCAATTATATGTGCAAATGTAAGGAGGGACGCGGATAGATGATCCAAATGATGAGATATAAAAAGGAGTTTGACTTTGGGAGGCATTTTAGTCAGAGTCTAGGCAGGAGACAGATGGTACGTTTAAATTGGGTAATTTGAGGAGATTTAACCTCTATACCAAGGTGTGGGCGCACGTAGGGAAATGAACAGAAGATAATGCATTACCCCAGGGCTAGCGAGGGAGGCAGGAAATGGTCACCAGAAATCCTAACGAGAGGAGAGCTGTGTGTGGAGAGGGTCGTCGAGCGGAAGCTGACCTCTGGTTGGGGGACGCAGACAACCAGTGGGGACCCTGGAGGGAGGAAGCCTGGAACCAACACCCTACCTCCCTCTCCGTCCTACCACCCCCCTGCTGTTGCTCCTCCTTGGCGGACCCTGACCCAGAGCTGGGGGGGGCAAGGGAGACTTCCTGGTAGGCTTTCCAGCAGAGTGGAGGGCTGGGCTAGGGTAGCCAGCCCTACACCGGAGTCCCTATCTTCACTTCGGTCATGACTTCAACCTGGGAATTCACAATAGTTTAAAACATGGAATGCACGGCCGTGCTATGGTCTAATCATTTGTCACTTGCCTGTCCTTTGAACCCCCTCTTCCCGTGCGTCAGTGTATGCACGTTAATACAATGAACCAGTCGTAGTGTGCAAACGGCCCTCCTCTCTAAACCTTCCCTGCAGAATGGGAAGATCAGTCACTTGCTGGAATTGTTCTGGTTTAAAAGACCTTTCCTTCCGTCTTCGTTATAGTACCCAAAGACCCCATTCCTGTTCATGGTCTTTACTCAGCGGACTATTTTGGCAGTGCAAACAAGAACTTGAAACGCACTTTGCCATAGGCATTTGAACATTTACTGTGACTCATCTGGGGTTTTCTATTTTGAGTTTTGCAGTATGTATTTGTTGTACTTGCTATACGTTAAATAACCGATACAATTTTTGACATTGTTTACTGCTATGTATTCTTTTTAAAGCTTAGTTTTAAGAGTCAGTCTCATTCCCACCCACCAAAAAAAATTTTTTTTAAAGCCCTCGTGTCATGAAATAAGTAAATAAATAAAAGCCCATGTGTCTTAGATTAAATAAACCCCAAACCAAATGTGTATTTCCAATTACTTTATGGCCCTTCATACCCTTTCTCTCTAGGCTTACAGGACAATCGTATTATGTTTAATGGCAATCCTTTGTGCCTTTTCCTGGTTCTTAGCTATTAGGATTGCTGTATGGTGTGTTTAACAGAATTGGAGAAATGTATGCTGTGGCGTGTTCACTGTTCAGAACAGAGCAGAATGTTAGATTCTAATTTGCTCTTGCTTGTTAGCTCATCTGGTGAACTTAGGTCATTTGCTGTAGCATGGACTTGGTTTGCTGTTCTGGAAAAAGTGCTTCCTTCCTAATGATGGATCTGGTAAGGAATAGTAAAAAGTAATAACAATCCGTTATCTAATACACTGCCCCACAGAAGAGTGACTGACTTTTATTAGAAAGAGGCTTACTTAAGTCAAGGTGCACCATCACCTATTTGCCAGTAAGTAACTACTACGTCTGTCTTTTGGGCTGGCTGTTTTAAAGATATATTTATTTATTTGAGAGAGAGAGAGAGTGCACGCACTACTGAGGGGGAGGGCAGAGGGAGAGAATCTTCCAGCAGACTCCCCACTGAGTGCATTGCCCCCACGCTGGGCTCCATGAGATCAGGACCTGAGCCTAAAACTAAGAGTCTGAAGCTTAAGGGACTGAGCCACTCAGGCGCCCCTGGGGCTGGCTGTTTTAAAGAGGTCCTTTTAAATGCTCCCATTAACCCTTTATGTATAGGCACTGGCCGCCCCTAGTCTGCGGTATTTGGTGTTTTTGTATTTAAGTATCCTTTCTTCCCATTGTATTTTATCCTAAAGGCTTTAAAAATGATAGGAAGTTAGAGTTGAAAAGAAACTTAACCTAGTCCCATGCACTTTGTTCTACAAATGAGAAACAAATGGGAAGCTGAGGATCCAAAACAGGACCCTGGGCCCCTGCCTTACAGTGTGCTCTTCACCGTGGCCAAATATCAGCTATTACATGTGATCAGCTTGGCATGCTACTTCTCTGTTGTTAATGACACGATCATATTTCTGCTCAACTAAATGAAGGAAACTGAACTTACAAAATCTTATATGTTTAGAGTTGGAACCTTAAGTTTAGAGGAACTTATTGAGTATTGTACAGAGATATGGGTTTTTTTTTTTTTTTAACTGCCAAGAATTAAGTGTAAGCACCCAAATTCCTAACTTATCTGTGAATATGCAAAACTGGCCTGAATTCTAGCATGGCAGTAATTTAACTATTACTGAGTAACGCCTCTCCCCCCCTCCCCCATTTCCCATAGTCCCTAGTACTCCTGGGTCTCCCACCCAGACTGTGTTACTCACGCCTATTTCTTCCCTAGGCTGGGTAGGCCTATTTGTCTCTATCTCTTTTTGAGAGCACCTGCTTAAAACCTATCATTTTGCCATAAGGAAACCAGTGTCTTCCATAAAGAGTAATTTTGGTGGGCGCCTGGGTGGCTCAGTTGGTTAAGCGACTGCCTTCGGCTCAGGTCATGATCCTGGAGTCCCGGGATCGAGTCCCACATCGGGCTCCCTGCTCAGCAGGGAGTCTGCTTCTCCCTCTGACCCTCTTCCCTCTCGTGCTCTCTATCTCTCATTCTCTCTCTCAAATAAATAAATAAAATCTTTAAAAAAAAGAGTAATTTTGGAACAAAATACGATTTACCTACAGGCTTCTTCATATGGAGAAGTGACCTGTCTTTAACGTTATGTTTTTGAGTGACTTTAAAAGAAAGAGTAGGCTAATGTTATTTCTTTGATAGGTGATCCAAATCCAGGACATTTTAACAGAAGAACCCAAAGTTACACTGGTTTATGCAGAAAATGGTACAGTGTTGCAAGGAAGTACAGTTGCGTCTGTGTACAAAGGGAAGCTACTGGTCGGCACCGTGTTCCACAAAGCTCTTTACTGTGAGCTCTAGCAGGTCGATCTGCCCCTGTGCCATGGACACCGTGAGCCCACCATTTCGACTGCTTGCCACATCTCCGGGGGCCACAGCGATCTCATCTGAACAGTGAATACTGACCCCCCATTTGGACATCTAAAAGGACGAAAGTGCTGTTTAACCGGGAAGAGAATCAATGCATAAGGCTTTTTTGAAAGCACGGTAGCAAATCAGTGTATTTACCAAAAAAATCTTATCAATAAAATGGCTAAAATTGCTGTGTCAGTTGTCAGGCCTTTCATCATTTAACTGTGTGTGATCCAAATGTCCTTTCCCTAAAACGTGTGTTGCCTGGGAGCACGTGAGCTTATTGCTGCCTTGCTGAACCTTGTTCGGGAAACAGAGGAGGATAATCTCACAAGTCGTCTCAGCCTGCAGCCCTCACTCAGGGGCTCCGGTTCACCTGCTGGGAAACTAGATGTGACCTACAGAGTTCCCTGGGCTCCAGGCATCCCTCCTTAGCAAAGCCATCGGACATACTGGCACAATCTGACTCCCATTTCCCCTTCGATGTAGGACTTTCTCAGTAAATAGAAACCGAAATGACTTCCATTTCTCCTTTTACTCTCACTTACTTAATTCTGCGGTAGCAATGACATGTAGGAAACTCTTTTAACATTCTTGGGAGTGTCTGTTATCTCAGCATAAACTCTACATTTTAGTTGCTTTGACCCAGTGAAAAGAAGTTTGTTCGCTTCGGTGATTGAAGACAGACTGAAGCCCGTAATCCACTCAGGTAAAGCCAAATGGCCCCAAAGACAGTATTCTTACAAGTGGGGGTGGGCGGGCTGTTTTTGTTGTTGTTGTTGTTGTTATTTTTAAGCAGGCTCCATGCCCAGGGTGGAGCCCAACATGGGGCTTAAACTCATGACCCTGAGACTGAGACCTGAGCTGAGACCAAGAGTCACGGGCGCTTAACTGACTGAGCCACCCAGGCGCCCTCCCCCGCCTTTTTTTTTTTCCCTATTGTAACTTGCAGGGGAGGATTAGAAGAAAACAGTAGAAAGGCAAACAAAAAAATTTAAAAAATCAACAGTCTTGGCCTATCTTCTGATGGACATGATTAGGAAGAAAAGATGACTTTTGTCATTTTCTTATAAAAGCTGGTCTGAAAAGTTTACCTGTCTTTGTCTCTTTTGAAAGTATGGCTTCCAGGCTGGAGAATGTTTTTGGGATGCTAGAGGCAGTCACGTTAGAAACAAAGTTCTTCCAAGGCACTTGCCATGACGACGGTCTGGCATGCTGGGAAAAATGGTTGGCTGATAAATTGAGAACTGTCAACATTTTAAGGCTACTAACTTAAAGTAATAAACGGGAACATTTTGTTTGGATCGAAAAACACTTTCCTCATATCAGATTAGAGTTATTTTAGTCACAACTTCAATGAGCATAATATCATGTGCCCTATGAGTGCTCAATTATTCGGTGAGGCTGTTCACAGCCCTTGAAGCTGGATTTTCTGAAATATTGTTTTGAGACTACCAATGGCTCTCGGGCTTATGTCGAAAAAGCCCCTGTATTTCCTTTAAAAAGTGTTGCTTGATATCATCAATGAAATAACTATATTCTGTTCTCTCTTGTTCTTGACAGAATAAGCAAATTCTGCCCCCCACCCACCCACCAGAAAAAGAAAGCAAGCTATTCAATTTGACACAGCATATGCTCGCGATCAGTCAAAAAGGGACACATGATTCCCTTCAGTGAGGGGGTTTCGTAACACACTCTGAGGAAGAGAAAAACCAGCTTATTTCATTTATTTTTTGCTGAAGGTTTAGTCACAGATCAATTATGGTTCGTGTGTGTTTGTGTGTGGGTGAGAGAGAGGGCGGGGGGGGAGAAATTAATATTCCTCATTTGCTATATTCAAGTCTTCAGAACATTTAAGGTTTTAGAAATAAAATTGCTGTGAAGAACCCCCAAGAACCCCGTCCTGGGGGCTGGCCTGCCCTGAGCTTGCCCCGTGCTGTGTGAGGCCAGCTGTTGAATGCATTTGTCACAGACCCTTGCTGGGCTGACAGGTATCGGAAACGCGCTGTGGGAACCGCAATGCGGGTGAGGGAGCTTCTGGCGGAGCATCTCCCACTTCATGCCCAGTTCCATAATCGTGCTTTCATATGTAATGCTAGCTGCCAATTTACACTGTACCGGGGCTAAAACTTATTTTTCCTTTCATTTCCATGGAAAACGTGCACTTTGCTCTTGATGGATAGATGTATTTTGACAGTTAATACAGGTTTACCCAGTCAAGGCTTGTTTTAGTTGAAGGTGAAAATGGAAGAGGGGGGGAAAAAACAGCCTACTCCGACAGATGTCCGTATTTCTCTTTTTATTGCATTCGTTGTCTAACAACAATAATACTCATTGGCAAGAAATTTATTTACACTCACAAATTTAATCACAGGTATTTTTAGATTGGTCAGAAAACAGAGGACCATTGTGATAGTTTGCTTTGAATGCCTCTGAAAACCAAAGAATAAGAAATGTTGCTTGAAACGGAACAATCTAGAGAAGTACATATTAACCAAGCACAAGAGAACAATTCAGACATGGTACTATTGTCTCTTCCATGCAAATGATCAGACACCAAAATGTACAAATTAAAAGGTTCAGATAACATGCTGTCCATACTTATTGGACTTAAAATGGTTTTTCAAACAACTCTTTTCCTGCAGTGATATATAAAGGTTAAAATAAATCAACTTCTTACAATGGAACAGAATTCATTCTCTCTCATTTCTTTTTTCAGCTGACTGGTTTTGTTAGTGCTGTGTAGCAGGCATACTCGTGGTTTAATTGCAACACCATTAAAAAATACAAAAGCAGTAGTGGTGACCATAAATAATATTAAGGAAAACATATATGTATATATATGTGTGTGTGTGTATATATATATATATATATAAATATTTAAGGAGTTTTACAAAACACTAACTACATCTGATGTTGTTGGGAGGTGTTATCTAGCTGGAGTGCCTATTAATTCCCACTTTCCAAGGTAATTTAACTATTTGTGGCCAATTGTTCTTTCACGGATGACAGATTAAATCCTTCAAAGAAGACCTGGGTGTGTGAATAAAACAGCTGAAAGAGACAGGTACACCTTCCAACAACATACTCACGCTCACATCCACTTGCATTGTATTTGGCAATGACCTAACCATGCCGTCACTCCACAAAAGAAGTTAATAAATGATCATGTGATGACAACAGTGCCATCAGAGAGCCAGTAGTTAGTGACTTAAGCATCACAGCCACCAAATATGTCACTGCGGAGCATGAGCGAATGCAGAAGAACACGCGGTGCAATTTTTAGCCAAGGAAACTGCGCTCCACAGTTGAAAATGCCCAAAGCTGCGTAAATTTCTGAGGTTCGACTTAGCAATGTGCAATCTTGACATCAAAGCATTAACCAAACATTTGAGGAAACTTTATCTTACTAAAATACCAAGTATCTAATAAATCAATTTTACCAAAATATATAAACATGTAGAAGGATAAGTGCATTTAGTAGAAATACTTACATTAAAAAAATCTCTCAAAATCTTATGAGCCATTCAATGTATACACACACAAAAAGTGGCAATAAGGTTATGATTACTGCTTAGGGTCCTAACTGACATTACCAAGTTCCATATACAATATATATATATATATATTTATGCAATGTGATTGTGGGGTGTGTGTGTGTGTGTGTGTGTGTGTGTGTGTATGTAAGGTAGGAATATATTCACACGCATGGAGTTCTGTACATCTACACACGCAGCATGCACATTATTGAGAAGTTGCCTCTGGTTCTCTTATGCGTTACCTCCTATTCATTCTTGAATCTCTAGCGGTTTTGGGGTTGGGGTAGGGCCAAGGATTGGAAATCACCCTGTTTCTGTCCTTCCCCATGCTGTAGATCTGGAAGCAGGTCACATGCTGTGTTTGATCCACACCACGCATGTATGTAAGCTTGGAAGTCACGAGCATTCACTCGACACATCCACACAGCACTGAAAGACCCTCTGTTTACCCTAACGTAGAACTTGAGGCTTTTATTCTCCAGGGGAAAATGGAGTCTGTGAACTGCTTCTTTGCCCTCTGACTTCCTGGTGGGATCAATTCTACACTGCCAGTGGTGCAGTAGTGGTTCAAAGTTACTCAAAATCTACTGGTGTCCTGTCTAGTATGATTTCTTCCCCCAGTGTTTTGGACCAAGACTAAATTTCCTGAGACTTTAACTACCTAAGACAAATATAAAAACAAAAATCTGCCCACATACCCAGGCTGTTTTTCAGGAATGAGTCACTGAAACACATTCATATTTCTTATACCACGCCTTTCTTTTGAGAATTGACTCCCCACTCCCATTTTTAGAAGGAAAACAACTCTAGTGGAAAATATGTACATTTTATTTCTGGACTTCATCCTTCAATGCTTAGCTTGAGAATAGTAGACGGGTAGATCCTTGATTAAAGGTAAATTTGAAAAGATATTTTTAAAAACCCTGGGCTTTTCTTTTCCACTTTACCTTTCCTTCAGAAAGCACTGAGGACTTAGCATTAAGTAGGTGACATGAACTGTAGTGACCTCTGTCCACCAGAGTGAAATGCCTCTCACCAGGGCCTTGCTGGGACAGAACATTTAGTTGCTCAAATGGAATTTGGTAATTCTTAAATATGTCAGTGTAATGAGGAGCTACAACATCTCCAAAGTATAAACATTTCTTTCAGAATTGTTGGGACATCTCCCTTTAGAATCTTCAAACACTGGGTTTCTTCTCTTGAAGCTCGGTCTACATAATCTTTAACACTTATTAAATGAGTTAGAATATCCATAAGCAATTTTTTATTTACCTCTTAAAAATATAACTTTAAAGCACATGTTAATCCTATTACACAAAGAACCTAGACAAGAATTCTTTGTCTTCAGTAAAAACCATAAAGGTTAATTAAGGTGCTAGATCCAACAACCTGTGACTGTTTTTGTAGCTCGGGCCTGGGACAGCTTACAATTTTGGGCCAGGGATGACACAGGATGAAAGGCAGCAGCAGGGTTAATTTGGTTCCTCCCCTGTCCTCTTGCCACTTTGTTTGCAACAACAACAAAGAAGCCCAGAATAGGTGGTCCCATTTCATGGCCCTTAAAAGCTAAGTTTGGAATGAGCACTAGCATACTGCAGTCACAAACCACTGTGGGTTAAAAATCCTTCTGTGATGTTGAGGGCCGGAAATCCATGTCAACCCCAACTAAAGGAGGATAACATAGAATGATAGCTTTATTGTCATGAAATTAATGGTGGACTTCATCAATGTGTCCAAATGGGCAAAATTAGGTTTCTGCCCTAATGTATCACTCTGAAGTACACTTCGGAATCAGGCAAAAAAAAAAAAAAAAAAAAAAGAATGAGAAAATTATTGCATAAACTGAGTTACTTTAAGGGAGATGGTCTTAAATCAAGTAATCTGTTATAAAAACTGAAGTCCTTTCATGGAAAACTCTGTCCCAGACATTTAGCTCATACAATGCTCCCCGTCTACAGCTTGGCCTCACCACACATTCCCTAACCCCCAAAGCATTACCTATACCCCAAAACAATCTGGATATTATTAGAGTCATACTGAGATGTCATTTAGGGAATATAGTTCATAGTAACCAGATATTCCCTTTCTGTTCATTTTCTGATAAATAAAAAACTGCAAAATCTTTAAGGTTCATGAAACAACAAGTCTATGTTAAACTGTATGGACACCGAAAACCACTAGCATTAAAGTAGGAGTTGTTGAAGACCCTGGAACCTCGATTAGGCGTCATGCACTAGAGTCAAGAAAAGAAATCATATGGAAACAAAATGTTCAGAAGTTCTGAGGTCCTGCACTTTGTGTTCATACTCTTTGATCAATCAGTTTACATTTTATCCTTGGCTGGACAGTCAAATCAAGTGCCTTTTATGATTTCAGCAGTTTTAAGCAGTAATATTAAAATAACTCAGTAAGACCTAAAATCACTGTAACAACTTAAAAATAAAAATAGTTATAATACAAACTAAGTGATTTGAGGAATAAGAATTTGATTTATAACATTTTCAGTTGGTCATTGGTCTACACACTGGAAGTGTACAAATAAAGTTCAAGAACAGTACTTCTAAGACATTTAAGGAAATGCAATATAATAGAGGTCATAAATTATGTGCAGAGACTGAGACTTATAGACATTTCCAGTATATACGTCCATTGTCAAACATTACCAAAGTGTAAACATAACTTTAGATAGTCATCCTCTATTCCCACTATTAAAATGAATACAGAGCAGAACTTCCAGTGTGATCCAGATCACTTTTAGTCCCCCCAAAGGTAAGCAAAAAGGGCAAAAAGTTTACAATAGCGAGCAAGAGTATTACCAGATTTTGACTAATTTAGTCTTTTGGTATTAGGGAAGATCTACTGAATTGTGTAGTTCATGAATAGTGGTTCCTTGTTTCTCATCATATTAATAAATAGTGAAGCACCACACATCTCAAGTATTAATAGAGTATCCAGTATGGCAATCTCATTACCATATACCAAATGAAGACAGAAAAACATACATAGCGACTCTGATAATTGTAAAACACAATGTTACTTTACGTCAATGTTTCTGAGCACTGGATGAATGATCTGCACTAAGGACAAAAGGATCGAAGTGTAACAGACAATACTCTGTCACTGGAAAGGAAACGGGCTTTCGGGAAAGATAGGATTATAAGTTTCTAGTTCAGCCAATTCCAGATTTCAGATATTCACGCAAGCAAAAATAAAATAAAATAAATTAAATTAAAAATAAGTCACACTGTCCAAAATACAAGATGGTGCTAGATGGGCAGGAGCCCCTTTACATTATCTGTTAACTGTAACCTTCCAAAGCCTTCCCCCAAGCTCTGTGTATACAACCTTTCCAGCGAACAATATGGACCAAACCCCCCTACCATGTAGTAAAAGGAAGTAAAATACTAGTTGAAGATTCATCTGGCCTCAACTCTTATTTTGAAACTCGTCCCTTGGAAAGTGGATGACCTCATTTTTACAGCCAATGCATCAAAGACAACCAGAGACAGGGGCATAAAAAACAAAACAACGACAACGAACAACAACCGATCATCTGAAGTTTCTCAAGATGGGTGTCTTTTCTCCTCCTTCCGCCCTAGTCTCCTATGCCTGAATTAGTTTGACGAAATACTGAAATCCTTCACATACTGGCTTTAAAATAAGCTGAACTGTCTCTGCTGGTAGACTATATCCTGTGGACTCTCTTAAACAAACTTTAACTGTAACATGGGACTCTCTGAAGAATGAAAGAGAATGGCTCAGAAAAACCATTCAAAACATCTCTAAAATCCAACTGTCAGCTCTCCTTTACGGGAACATTTGTGTGTTCAATAAAATTGCTTCTCTGGTTGCGTGTTACTCAAATCTAAATTTTCTCTAACCAGTATTCCTATTTTTCTTAAAAGTACATTTGTTAAAACACTAACTGAGCCCGCTTGGGAAATCTTAAGTAGAAAATATGTGACAAGTTCCTGATTGTGTCACAGTCAGGCCAAAGACTAGCCAGAATTTTCCCCAGGAGAGGAAACCTGAAAATGTTGGGTTTCCTTAAAAATCAATTTCCTGTTCAATTTGTTGGGGAAAAAAGGAACTATGTTATGCGTGTCGGTGAACTACAGAACACGCAGCGGGAGCAGAGTAAACAATGGATCCCAATATCCCGGGCTGCATTAACGTCTGATTTTTTTCCTTTGTTCGGCTCAATCTGGAGGATAAATGTTACCCTCAGAACCCCAAGGTAATACCCACATCCACATTCTGAAGGTTTCTGCTTCCTTCTGGGGTTAGCAAATAACAGATTCTTTTCTCTCCTTCAGATGCCCAGCAAGCAGAAGAGTTTGCTTGCCTTTTGCCGCCGTACGTAATTATGTGGCAGAGCACCCGTGTTTCTACAGTGGGGTTGTCTCACTGCCCAGACACAAACACGAGGGGAGAAACTCTCCCACACACTGGAGTATTCTGGAGCCCCAATCTCAAGGCAGAGCGGCGCTCTGGGCCATGCAGATACGTGCCATTGCCCAGTTTCAGGATTCCCAGACTGAAAAGTCATGGTGCTCCACTAACACCACCAGGGCATGGCATGCTTTTCTCGGGCAGGGTGACCCTGGTTCCCCCACAAGGGGTTGGTAAGTAAGAGAAGAGAGAAACACAGCTATTTTGCATCTTTCACAAATGAGATCCTTGGTTTGGTAATAAACAAAGGTGGCTTGGGATTATTTCAGGAGGTGAAAATTAAAAGTGTATTCTATTATTGCAGAAAATGCAGTTTTGCCACAAGCAGTTCCCCATTTGGCCGAGAGCACGTTACCCCTGCCATCAGTTCCTTTGTCCCCGGGGAGGAGAGCAGGGCGGGAAGGGGGGAGAGCTGTCTGCGAGGGGGTGTGTGTTACTGTTCGCCAGCACCCTCTGATGCAGCGGTCATCTTTTCTGTCTTTTTAGACTTCCTCTGCATCTGCTCTTGTTCCTTCCTCCTCAGCTTTTCTCTCTGTTTTTCCATCTTCTCTTGAGCCTTCCGAGCCTTCTCTAGAGTTACCTTCATTTCCTTGAGTTTTTTTTTGACCACTGCTCGGTCCTGGGATGATGTCATTCCCAGAGCCTAGGAAGGAAATACATAGACAAACTGAACTTGAAAACCAATGACCTCTCTGCTTAGGAAGAGGTTGATATCACAATGTGTTCAGACTCAAGAACTGATTTAAACATAATCAAAGAGGTAAAAACCGAGAAAGAGCTGCTTATGTTTGCCAAAAATCTCCATACTCAGGGGCGGAGCTTTATTTGCCCTCTGAAGTGCCTACACAGTACGCCCTAAACCCCATTAAATACATGCTTTCCAAACTGGCAATTAATGGGTGAAGGAATTAAAAAAGGGGGGGGGGCACAATTCTGCTTCTCCAACCTTTGGGCCATAGACATTTACAGGCAAAAGTACTGCTAAACTCATCAATATTTTTAAAAGCTAGGAGTGGGCACCTGCTGCCATAGAGGGCTCCAAGAAGGGCAGGGAGAACTGAAGTGGCTTCCTTTTTGCCAATGGAGTCATTTACAATGAGGACCAAAAATGTCTTTGGGGCCGGAATGCTCATGTCAGCATGACTAGCCATTCCCTCCCTGTAGGCAAACCTATAAAGGAATCCTGTTAATGAGGAGGTTGCTTAGTGAGCCTGGAATTCAGAATAAGGGGAGTTGGTTGCGTACTTTAAATGTTTCATGACCTTCAGAATCAACAGCAGGATGCATCCATCTCCCCAACAGGGACAGCCTTGTCAATGGGTCCTTCATAATCACAGACTATTGATTGATCTCTAACCTTTTCAAGACTGTCAAGGATACTCATCTGCCCTTCAGCCCAGCAGGGGACTGAAGTTGGGGGTGGGGAGCCAAATGTAAGCTCTTTTTGCCCTTTTTTTCCACAGGGATGGATTCCCCCCCCCCCCCCCCCGGCCCCCAGTCTCTAAAAGGGATGGACTGGACAGGTGAAATGACAGTGGGATGGAGCGGGGGACACACGGCCTGCACATACTTGGGGAAGAAAGTTCTGAGGAGAACATCGTCCCAGTTTTGGAGAGGTGTGCAGGGAGCAGCGAGGGTGGAGAGGAAATGAATAAAGAAGGAAAGATTCGTGGATCTAGGTTTCACCCTCATGTGATCAAAAAGTCCACCTTGGCCATTATTACAACTCCTACTACACAGGAAGTCAGCAGACTTCACGTATGGACCACGTGTTGCCCGGTGGAAGCAATGGAGTGAGTCCCTAGCTCTCCTACTCCGCAGCCTCCTGTTTGATTCAGAATCCCTGACAACTTTCCGAAACTTCGTTTACTACTCAGAAATGATGCAACGACCTTTCCGCGGACCGTTGGTGAGAATTCCCTCGCAGATATGCAGAACGCTCTTGTCTAAGGAAAACATTTTAGGCACCATGAGCAACACAACTTACACCTGATAACCTCACACAGAGATATAATTCTTTACCTTAAGTTTATTTCCATCCAACTGCAGGAGTTGCTCGCCAGTGATGTTTTGGGCACTGAATTCAGATACATACTGCTCCAGATTTAGGCTCATTAGCCAGTGAGAAACCTGCTGCACGCTCCATTCATGAACGGCCCGATTCTGACACTGACTGTGTTTGGGAGACTGTCCATCATCAAGGATCTGAGGTAGGAATGTTATGCAGTGTTGTTAAAGGACCAAAATGCTATGGCTCAGCGCGGCTTATTATGCTATCAAAAGGAATTTCTTGCCTACCAGAGCCACATTTATCTTTAAACCATAAAATGAATAAGCTAATGGTTCTAAGTTGTGTGTGTAACACACACACGTAGTTATCGCCTACATTTTTGTTAGGTATTTGGAAATTTAAAAACTCCCCCAGATAAAGCAGCATTATTAATGTAGGGTGTTCCCTACTGAAAAATACACTCCGATGTTGCAAGCCTTTACATTAGAACACCGTGGAAAGAGTATGAGATGCAGAAAACAAGTATTTGATTGATCTCTATATGCAATGCATCACTCTGCGTGTAGCCTCTGGTAAGTCATTAGAGGTATATAAAAATACATTTAGAAATATTGAGGTATCTTTCCCTTGAAAGAGCAAAGCCTTAAGTCCTCAAGCATTATGAGGGGAAATCTTGCAGCCAGGGTTTCCTTTGTGCAGCAAGCAAACCCGTGAGGAAGGCGGGGCAGGTAATGTCCATAATGACTTTTAATAAATGAGTGAAGTGAGGCTCAGCCAGTCTACGTGTCTGTCCGGAGCACGCAGCGAGTGACCGGGGGAGCTCAACAGTTTGTGGTGTATCCCGAATCTCGGGCTCTGCCCAGTGCAGAACACCACTTTGACCAGCGCAGAGGGCAGTCGGTTCCTAGAACCTCTAAGCTGAGAGGCGATGGAGGCGATGACAGGTCTGGGAATCACCTCGGGGAGCACTGACGGGCTGGGGCAGGATGGGGCAAGCCGAGATGAAGGCAGAGAAGGTGGAACAGAACGGACCGTGTCAAGGTAGTGGTGATGGGGGAATCAATCGAGGGGCTCTGCAGGTAGAACCTGGTGATCATCTTGCCTCGGAAACATCTCTTAAACTTCGGGACAGACAAGGGCAGAGAGCAAAATGATTTAACACAAGGAAACCCTCCACTACAGACACAAGAACTCTTGTACTGTTTGAGTTTTGAATCATTTTGCAGAGACAGAAGAGGAGGTTCAAACAGTACCACCGAAGCCACGGCGCACAGCCCACCGAGAGCTCACCTCGTCATCTATCATATCCAGGCTCTGAGTTGGGGGGGCAACAAAGGAATCAAAAAGAAAAGTGTTATAGAAATAGGAGACACGACATACACAGTACAAAGATTTAAAATTACAATCACACCAGGCCTGAGGAGTATGGGCAGAAAAATTTAAGAGACAACAAGTTTTATAAAACAAAAATCATGTTAGAAAGAAATAACTTAGAGCAAATATGTGGAGCAACAGTATCTTTATGTACAGTGCTTCTCCTTCTCCGGCCCCCCGCCCTAAATAGTGGCATTTCTGTCTTCTCCTTATCTCTTGGGGCACTAAGTCCATCACTCATGCAATTTCCTGTTTCTCTGGAAACACACTGATCTTCTGGGAATTCTTGGCAATGCTAATTTGACCCTGGCTTCTAAATAAGTGATCCTCACCCAGTTTTTCTCCCCTCTCCACTGCAGTGGTTCTCAATCAGGGGCCATGCTCGACTTGGGGTAGGGGTGGTGGGGCGGGGGTAAGGGTGATGGTGGGGGAGGCGAGGGAGAGAGGGGATGGACAGTCAGTAAACTCCCCTGTGATTTCTGAGCTGCCCCCTATTCTTGCTCTCTGGTGCCCAGCCTCCTACCCCCAGCCCCCTGCTCAGAGTCCTCTCAATGAAGTCAGAGTAAGGTGGGGGAGGTCCCTGGAGAGCTTTCAAGGGGCTCAGAAACAATACTTTGCCTTCATTTTGAGATAGAGAGAGGAAAGAGAGAGAAATCAAGATTTCACATCAAACAAGAAACCATGGTCCCGATGATTTACATGCAAAATCTACTTAAGGACGTTTTCCTAGGGATAGGTGACGGGCACAGTGCATGACCTGAGAAAGCGGGTCTGTGTGAGCACCACGAGCGTACCTCATCTGACGACAGTGCTAAGGACTGAGAGAGCCCCGGCGTTTTGGGTTCGGCTCCCAGGCCACTAAGGTCTGCTGAACTGGTACTACTGGGACTGAAGTCATCGTTGAAGGTAAAATTCTGTAAAAATAAATGAAGCTCAGTGTTAAATGAGCACAGTGAGGGAACCAGAGGTAGGTGTATTTGCAAGTCCTAAAAAGGTTCTCTTTAAAGTCATCTTCGGAGAAATTCAGATTTAGTTTGGTGATGACCTTCAAGCAGCGGTGGTGGAGAGTACTGGGCCTTTTGTAACTGATAGGGAATTCTGGGCGCTTTCTCCATCAGATGGAAGGATAGGTGTTTTGGAGAAATCATTCTTCAATCCCTCTTCAAGGATACAGCCTTCATTATCCTCTGCAACAGCTCAGAGGAGTAATATTAATAAGCCTATCTTCTTTGACCCTACTCGTGATGAGTAACAGTGCAAGTAAAAATACAAGATGGTGTGGAGAGCCTGAGTTATTAGGAACAGATGGCCATCCATATTAGAAAGGTAGCTTGAGCACCTCCTGGGAAGGATCACTTGCTGCTGGCCGTGATAAATACTGTGAGAAATGGCAGATCCCCCTCTGGATATAACCTTCGAGATGATGAGTTCTGGGGGAGGTCACAGTCTGCCGACACACTAGTAGTTACATGCTAAAATACAACTCTTACACAGCCCGCAGAGCACCAGAGAGGCTGCAGAACAGACACACTCTCCAAGTAATCACCTGGGGCCGGTGGAGTGGGGAGGTGGGGTGTAAAAAGAAAAAAAACCAAAAAACTTCCCCAGAACTTCATCAAAATGTTCAGTGGCTATTAAAGTCAAGTAAATTCAGAATGACTACATGGCTGCATTTGTGAAAATATTTTAAACCAAATCTGGAGTCTCTCCAGTGCAAGATAATGGTGGAATTATTCCAACTACACTTAGATTTCTCAGATCCAATACTGAAAATGTTTCAAGATCCAAGTGGTCTACTGCTGCCAAAGCTTCTTTTGCTAGCAATTCTAGAATGACTGGCTTCTGAGGAACTCTAAGCCCTTGGCCAACACCATCTTGTCCCATATTCCACTTCCTTAGGAACTGGCCCGTTAGTTTTCCATTAGGCTCCCTTGCCACTGGGTTCAGTCGGTTGTCAAAAATAACTACCATGCCAGAGGCTGCAGAATTCAGTTCCAAACAAACCCCAGGGTTTGCTAAAACTTCAGACATGGAGACTAAATGCGAGCACGCAGAGCTAGGCTAGGAGAACATGTAAGCAGGAGAGCATTTAACACAACACATTACTATTTGATATGGTCAACAGACACACAACCCCAAGCCCTGTCAAGACCCTGTGAGCCGCTGACCTCAAGAAAAGAGTTAAATTCAAATCACATTAATCACACGTTTCTGTTTGAGAAAGAAAAGCGAACACAGATAAAAGGAGACCAAACAACATGTGAACGTTAGCCACTGTATGTGTTTCAATAAAATGTTAGATAAGGTTTGCAGCGTCATGCTGGAAATAACCATCATGCATCTAAAAACAAACAACACCCATGCAATTATATTTTCTAATTCTGCTAAAGTTAGAGAACTTTGGTGATGAGATTGTAAGTTTTCCAACAGGGAAGTTTGATTTAAAAGAAGAAATAAGTAAGGGTGCTATGCCAGCATTGGTTTGTTTTAAAGAGTTTCACTTAGATATATTGAACAGATATTCAGTCCCAAATTTATTTGTTTTCCAGTAAATCTCGAAGAGCATAATAAAGATAGTCTTGTAATGTAATTTAAAGTGGAATACTTGGTAAACAGATCTATCATACTGTTCCATGATTCAAATGCATCTTTCCCAGCATGGCTTAACTGTCAAACTGAGATTAAATAGCAATATGTGAAAAGACAGGCAAATCAAAGATTAACGTACAATCTAGAATGGAATAGCATTAAAGAAGGTGACGGTTAAACGAGGCTTTCCTTTTCCCCACACAAGAAATACCATGCATGGCTTATTGCAGTGTTATCACATTGGTTTCTCGGGTCCAGAGTAAACACACAAGTTGAGAATCCTTTCCAAAGACTGGAGAGGAGGAAGGATTTGGGGCTTTCTTGTTTGCTTTTTAAATCCATGTGTTTTCTACCTTGGACCCCTTTTTATCTGAAATTAGAGTTTCAGGAGAAGGCTGAAGGGGACTTGTAGGTGAAGGCAGGTCCCTGAAGGAATAGGATCCTTTTCGGCTCTCATTAAACCACGAGAAAGGCATGCACGGCGAGCGGGTGGAGGCGTGAGGTGCGGGAGACGGCTTGGGTTTCCAGTGTTCCAGCCTGCCTCTGAAGATCCTGTTTTATGGGAAAAAATGCACATGTCAGACAAAGGAAGGGCAGGTGTGACACTTGTTCAACTGAATTCTGAAGGGACTCTGAATAAAGTTCAAAGTAGCAGTGTGACAAATGGTTCTACACGACAGAGGAAAACTTTTGCATTTTTGACTAGGACATTAATCTCAGTAGCTATCTTCTTTGCATCGCAATGGATTCTAGAACAACGGTCAACATTTTCATATCGCTATTGCCATAGTGAATTCTTATGAAATGTGTCTATTAAGTGCATGTGGATGAATTAAAGTCAGAGGGGCACTGTCTTTCTGGAACTGCTATTAGGTTAACCACCACAACACACCAGTCCCCTTATTTGGGTGACCTAGCAGTGCCTCACTGCCAGTGACATTAGCTCTTAGCCAGCATTCTTTCCTGGCCTTCTCTGAACTCATGCTTCCAAGAGTTTGGGACTTTAGAAAATGAGGTAGTTAAATAATTTGGAAATTTCAGGGCTTATGATACTTTAAGCAGAACACACACCTTATTGGTTTTTCATCATAATCGGAGTGCTAGCTAGCCACATCAGCTGAATCGACCCAGGTGATCAATGGAGTGACAGATGTGGCAGCCAATCACCCTCACACCCCCTCGGAGGAGACCGGACTGCAGGTCTTAACACTCTCCTTGGAGGACCAGGATCTGTCACCTCTCGAATACATGGCCTTGAGCCTTCTCTCAGCCTCTATTTCTCCTCTGTAAAAGGTGGATATTTTATGTAGCTCATATGTGGTTGTTAAGAATTAAATGAGATAATATGCGTGAAAGTGCTTGGGAAACTGTGAAAAGTATAAAGGCATAATGTTTAACATTTAAAGGATTCAAAGGCATTTGAGAAACAGTTTGAAAACAGATATTTTTATCAGTGCATGTACTTGTGTATTTATATTTATCTTTTGGTTAGAGAAAAAGAATTATCAAGAGCTGAGGCAGGAATGGGCAGTGGTTTCTGCGCATCTGGGAAGAGGTCAACCCTCAATATGTCCAAAGGAGATTTGACACAATGCCTAGTATTTGTTGGCTGTTGATGTCATGACAGCAAAGAGATTGCCTTTCAATTAAAAGTGCCTCCACACCACAGCTAGACAACTCATGACCCACACGCATTCTGGACTTCAGTCTTCTCACGTCGCACTCCAAATATTCTGAAATATTATATACTTCAAATATTTCAAAATATATTTCAAATTTACATAAACAGTGTAACTCCTGTTTCTGTTCTTTCCAACGTTACTGGGAGACTCTAATGGGACAATCAATGTAAAAGCATCTTGTTAACTGCAAAGCAATCTACAAATGTAAAGGGATTATAAAAATAGTGACTAAAGAAAACGGAGATGCCAGAAGTTTTGGCAGAATGCTGAGATCATAGGTCGGGTGAGTATAATGACTGGTCATTTAAAGATTCCAGGATATATCTGATGATTATGATGGTGAATTCCTTTTTCAAAAAAACAATAAAGGGGACTGTAAAGATAACAGAGAAAGCCCAACGAGAGATGTGTCAACCTTCAGTCTCATCCTAAAGTCTAAACTAAAAAAATTCTGTATCCCGAAGTCTACTTACTTGCTATTAAAAGACGGGGTAGAGGGGGAACAAGAACTGGACTTAAGAGACCACGCTAGCAGAGGCAGACCGGTCTTCTGTAAGAAGCACTTTCTATTCCTGGGTCGTGGACCAGTGCAGTGTTTCCCAAACAAGACCGGTAAGAGTCACCCGGGGCAGCTGCTCATATACAGGTTCTTGGGCACCTGGGCTTATCGAATTAGAATCTGGGAGAGAGGAAGGGAGGAGTTCGTCTGGAATCTGCACGTTAACACGTCTGAGTTGACTCTTGCAAGTTTTTAGTATCTACATTTATTTCTATTTTCCTGAATGCAAATATGAGGTTTCTGGAGAATGGGTGACTACTTACGGAAAATTATTGCACTGGGTCCCCATGCCCTACTTTCGTCTTTCCAGAGTGACAGAATGAAAGCCAGTTGTCGTCCTATTCTTGGTCTACAGGTGAGGAATCTAAAAAATACCAATCTGGATGATTAGATAAGACAGGGACAGTAGTGCTGTCCCCACCTCCCTTCTGGTAGAGGGAGAGAAATCTTACCGCCTTCATGTAAACAAATTCAACTAGGGAAGGATCCTGGGTTCTTACCCTTCAGAAAGTAATATATGTCTTGGGGGGAGATAAGACCAGTGTCTCCAGCTTAACAAGCCTGGGAATGTCTCCGTGAAGCTGGGTCTCATCCCCTCCCCCCATCCCACTCCTTGAAAATGAAACCATACACCTCATGGGAGGTAAATCTCTGCAGTTCTATCTATCCAGTCATAATTTGGCTTCTAAGGCCTGACTTTTAAGCTCAAGTTCCACAGTCCAGTAAAAATGCCCAGAAAGCTCTAACTGTGCAGAACCATACAAATATTTTTTTCTGCAGTCCTACATTATCATTGGACATATCTGAGATAAACTGGACCTAAGGATTATTTCCCCCTTTGGTTATTCATTTCTGAATCAATTAATCAAAGTAGCATGGAAGTTTTTTTTTTTAAGAGTGCCGTTCATAATTCAAAAAGGTACAGCAGTGCTTAAATATATGGATATTGTTTTAAAGTTTATAAACAGGCCATAATTAGTGACAGCATGACTATCTTGTCCTGCTCCCAAGTGAACTGCCTTTGTAATGATGCTTTTGGGACAACCACCACCATGCCCATTTTTTTTAATTAGGCGGAAATAAGAATATTATTGCCTACTTGCTGTCATCCTAATGCGTTATTTGAAAAGGACTTTGGATTCAAATTCTGACCATGGAACATTTCAAACAAAATCTCAAGACCACATATCATTAAACTCTTTCATAAGAGCCTCACTGCCAGGAAAATATCAAGACTAATAATTCCATGAGGACTTGTATATCCAGCACTGAAGACAGGTCCCGAGGCCATATATAGTGTGAGTGTGACGAGTGACATCATGGAAGCTCAGCTTCGGGGGACATTCAGAGGCTTTCTTCTCCAGCTTTCTATACAAGATGATGGAAGGACTGGAGGAACTGTCAGACAGAAAGCAAAGAAAGCCCACTTCTAAGGAAATAACCAGTGTCCTCACACCTGCAAACCACCAGGTCCTGGAATCCTTTGAAGAGAATTTTCCGGGTCTCCAGGAGGTCTGGCGATGCCCCGGCTGAGGCTGTATCTTTGGGTAGCCTCGACTCTAAAACACCATGAACTGAGGTAACCTCTGTGTGTCTCCTACTATCCTGAATGGTCAGTATGTTTCCATTTGTTTGGACCTAGAGTATATTCATCAAAAAAAGCAACCTCGCCATTACTTCATAATTACAGATCTATCAGCTTAACAGACATGCTTTCTAAAATAAATACCAATTTCCTTTTGGACAATTTGAACTCTTGGGCCTACAAAAGGAGCAGAGAGAGCTTGGAAGCAGTCATACCATTACTGACCACTTATAGCCTTTCCCATTCGGTGGAGAAATCTGTTAAGAATAACATAAAATTCTTCCTTCTCTCCTTACTACCTTCCTCCATTTCCTCTCTCCTCCCCTCCCTCTCTCCCTCCCTACATAGACAGTTTTGACTCTGACAGCAGGTTATGGTCTGGGGTGCATAAGCTTCATAGAGATCCTTAATAATCCCCTTGAAAAATCAAGATTGGTAGAAATGAGTGTTTCATGGATCTGAAAATAACTTCCAGAGGATCAAAATAGGTATGTGTTCTGTAATTCATCTTCTTTTTTAACTTGTACAATAATGTCTCACTATCATTTTTGGTAAAAATGGAATTACAGGTCACTGATGTAACCCTGATTGTTTTATTGTTAGGAACTGGGAAAAAGAATGGCTTCAAATTAAGTCTCTGTCATATTAAATTGTCATGGGGGGGCGGGATGAGGTGGGGGTAATCACTGTTTCCTGGCATTTAAATGGTTTATAATTAACAACCCTTACAGAGCTGTTAACCCAATACATACATCTTGAAACCAGTTCATTCTGGGGTCAGCACCCCAAAATTAAGCTGCTCAGGTAAACATTCCATAGCAATTTTTTTTTTTTTTGATTTGTCTTAACTTTGAATACAAGGTGTGTGAACTGAATGTCATCAAGATATAATTAGGAGTTCAGGAACTGCCAGAACAGAAAAAGTAAAAGCAGAATATAGAATTCAAGCAGGTAGTTAAGGAGATTAATTGAAGAAAGTTAGGTGCAATCAGAGGAAGGGGTGCAGACTTCCCTTTATTCAAACCAGAGGAAGTAATTCCGTAAGGTTCTAACACCCACTGAGGAGACTGAGGTTGTAACAGCCAGCCCCTTTGGAAGGACACGTGGAGACCCTCAAAGATAACAGGTAGGACAAGCAGGTGTCCACCTGCAGGTCAGGCCAGCCACCACTGACACATCCTGCTTCGACCCTGAGTTATGGTCCAAAGCGCCGACTGATAACCCCAACAACCCGTCTGAGATGGTCACTGTAGCGTTTAACCTTCATTTCTTACAGGGTTCTGGACATGCTACCACAGAACATGACAACTTAGCATAGCAAATATTTTAAGGTGAAGGAATCTGAGAAATGGCAGGTACGTGAAGGGTTCTCTGACCTCCCCACTGCCCCTGAAGCAGATCATAAGATCTTATGGGAGAGGTGCCCTCCCTATACCTGGAGGAAAGGAACATCCTTATCTGTAGATGGAGGGATACCAAGAGGGATCTGAAGGAACAATGCTTTGGGGAACGAAGAGGCCTTGCGAGGTTTCCCATTTACTACCCTTAGTTCATACCCTTTTGTCCTCTCACATTTTTTCCCAAGACTTTCCACTCTTCAACAAACCTAGCATTAAAATGCTCAGGCTTAACCACTTCTTTGGTCTTCACTTCCTGATAAAGGTTCCTGCATCACACAAAGCTTACGTTCAATCAGTGTGTATGCTTTCCCCTTGTTAACCTGTCTTCTGTCAATCTAATTTATAGGACTCCAGCTGGAAAACCCCAGAGGGTGGAAGGGAAAAGGTCTTTTGTGCCCCCTCTGCATTCATAGGAGATGGGGAAACTGTTCCCTTAATGAGTCCTCCCCATCCTGGGAAGGTTTAAAATGAAACAGCAAGATGATTATGTAAATAAAAATTTGATATTTCAAAACAAAAATGTTAGATTTGGGAATAATAAATATATTGCTTAGGATTTAAGAAAACTTGTATTATTAGAAATCTGAGAGAGAAGTCTGTCTATTCATTCTATCTTAATATATTTAACTGGTTAAGATGAAAAATAATCAAAGTGATAAGAGCACTGGATGTTTACAGCCTCTATGGTAACATTTTAATCGACTAGATTTTCAAAAGTTTTTTTCAAGTGGAAGAGTGTTGATGTGTTAGGAATGTCAAAGTCTGTCAGCTTTCAAGCACTGGGACGTACTTAAAAAGAAAACGAACAGATTAAATTTATAAGTGCAGTTTTCTAAAAACAGGATACACAACTACGTGGGAACAAGACGGCTCTGCTGAGGCCAAGCTAACATTATTCAAGGGTCTCTATAAATTTTTTTATAAAATTTTACTGGATGTATAAACAAAATGACAAGATTTGTAAGATGAACTGAAACTCAAAAAAAGGTAGGTTTTAAAACTGGAGACTTGAATCAATTACTTTTAATTTATAACCCAAATAATCCTCTTTTTAAGGAAAGCCATCTTTGGGCATTAAAACTATCAAGTGAAGGGGAGACCCCGCAGAACTGTTATGTCAAAGTTAAGCACTCCATAGGGGCTTTACTGAGTTTTCATTATCGTTGTTCGTGCCTTAAACGCTCTCTTTGAAACTTGCCAGGTTGAAATTATTTTGCCATTCTCCTCTGGCAATTTACAACGGCATTTTGTTTCCTGTTTTTTAAATAATTTTTTTTTTTTAAGAAATTTTGGGTCCTTTTTGGGGTGCCTCTGTGGGTCAAGTTTAGGCAGTGGTGAGGTGCTTTTCTCTTCAGGCACATATGACAGTATTGTTGAAGATGTTATATTTTAAGTACCAATGTTAGTTTTTGCTTTATCTTATTCGTCCCCATGAATTTGCCTTTAAAATAAATTATATTGTTACATCTTTTGTACCTCTGTGTGTAAAGAAATTATACTGGGAACACAGAAGAGTAGCTATAGATTTAAAAAAGAATAGACAAACAAGAACACATGTATCGTGATGAGCACTGAGTAATACACAGAAATTGTTGAATCATTATATTGTATCCCCGAAACTAACATAATACTGTATATTAATTATACTTCAATAAAAAAGTAAAAAAAATAAACAGGAAAAATGCCAATTTATAGATCAACGGAATGAGTTAGAACTGAAAAGAGGATGTTTTTCATAGAATCATATGGATTAACCCTGTCCAATAGAAATACAATATGAACTACATATATAAATTACAATTTTCTGGTAACCACATAAAAAAAGAGGTAAAATTAATTTATATTTTATTTAACCCAAAATATTCAAAATATTATTATTTCAACAGGTAATCAGTATTATAAAATTTTTAATAAGGTATTTCACATTCTTTTTTTTTCATACTAAGTCTTTGAACTCCTGCATGCATTTTCTCCTACAACACATCTCAATATAGACTAGCCACATTTCTAGTGCTCAATGGTCACATCTGACTAGAGGCTACCATATTGGATAGTACAGACAGAGATGGCTGGGGAGTTGGAGACCATGTAGTTTTAATCCATCTGATTATTTTTTGGTGGGAAACCAAGGTCTAGGAAATTCAGAGCCTTATCTATGGCAAAGCCAGGATGAATACTTGGATTCCAGCACAGTGTTTTTTCCACAGTTGACACTTCTAAGGGGAATGCAAATTCACCTCCACAAAGGTGTGTCATCTCTCTTCCTGTCGTTTTCCCACACGCCACTGTCTAGCCTTGTTCTGAGATGCACATAACTGCTAACACGCTTTTCCATTCTGCCACTCAACCAGGAGCTTCTCCCACAGAGCTCCAAAGCAGGTACTCTACTGACATCAGTGGCAACTTGCTCTAAAATGAGGGTAGTATTTTTACCCTTTGTCGACAAGCTCTGACAACCCACTCACTTTCCTGCTTCTGTTCTTTGCTATGCTGCCTGTTTAAATCAGACTGTTCGCTGAGCACATATGTGAAAATGCTAGGACCGAGCCATAATTTTGTAGGGTTTATTTATTATTATAATTATTGAACCTCATCTAATTCTTTCATGTTGGTCGTGCATGTAAGTCATTAGATCTCCCCAAGGAATACAATAAAGTAAACTCTTAACTCTTGAGGAAGGAAAAAACTAAAACCAAGACCGAATTTAGCAAACCTCTGGTCTTGCCTCTTTAAAGTCCCGCAGCCTCGGGCTAGAACTGATTGAATGACCTCACCTGATTTTTACAGCCTAATAATGAAAAGCCTAAGAGATAAGATCACTAACTCAATTCATGAATCATTCCCTCTCTTTTCTGAGAAAGCTTCACAGAGGTGATGAGTTCATTCCCAGTCTCCCCCAACTGCAGTGGGACCCTGAAGCTGACGGTGCTTACCACCCACCCACCTCCGGGGGCCCTGTGAAACCAACTCAGTTGCAGGAAGTCCCTACTGGGCAGTAACTCTGTTTTCTGACCTATGTTTTAAAAGGTTCTGGGCCCATTATCAATCTATGTAGGAGCAGAGAGGCTGTCATTAGATTTGATTAGCGTTAACCAACTACTGTGATAGCTCAAAAAATTGTTCTGTGAAACAGAAAAATTCCTCCCTCTTCTTCCCTTGTTCTATATATTTCAATTACATGAATTCCTGTCAGGCCTGTCAAAATTCTACTATGACTACAGATAATTATAAAATTATGATTCCAATTGAAAACTATTTTGTAGCATTGGTACATGTGTAAATACTTGTGACCAGTGAAGCAGAAAGACTTCAGGGTTAGTATTTTAAAAATACTGAGCTGGCTGGCTGCTGGTTCCAAAATTGGCATTCGCTGCAGTGACAGCCCACCCTTGACTCCCTGGGGCTGGCCTAGAGTAAAGTGCGCGCTCACCAACAGAATCAAGATTTGCTTGCTTTTCACCTGGAGTTTGTACAGGGAGGTGATAGCCTCTGGCTACTAGGATGAAATTCAGTCAAACCTTCTCCCCACTGCTGGATACTTCCTTCCATCCTTTTCCGAGTGGAGCCTCAAGGTGAGAGGAAGTGACTGCCTCAGAAGTCCAGGGGCCAAAAGGAGGGCAGTGTTTACTACAGAAGTGTCCCAGCTTCTCTCCTTGTGCATCTGGCATCTCTCTCCCTGAAACACTTGCAGTTTTTACGGTATTTTATCCTGAGTATATTTGATCGTTTCCTATTCCTATTTTTAAAGCACACAGCAGACTGTTTTATATTTCTCACTCCAAAACCACACAAAGTTAAATTGCTTTTGAGTTGGGTCATGGACTTATTTTTTCCAAGAACGGTGTCCTCGATATAAACAGAGCTTTTAACGCTTTCTCCATTGTACAGGATCAAACCACCACAACAACAGACTAACACAATTAATTTGGGAATTCCCTCTTCTCATCCCTGACCCCACTCTCCTATAATCCCAGGAAGAAGGTACAATTTCTCACCAACTGGTATTGCCAGAAAAAAGGAAAAGAAGAAAAAGAAAACATAGAGGACGACCTATAAAATGGATCAGTGGTCCCAAAATGATTTGATGATCTTTTATCATTAGCTTTCTGTTTCTTCCTTAGTCTACCGCTGTTGGGGTGATTCCCAAATTTCGTGAAGAGATTTCCGCATCATTCAGTGCATAAACAAGTGGAAGGGAGGTGTTGTGTTGCAAAGGCATCTGGATGGAGGCACGAGCCCGGCTGAGTTAACTGCTTGCTGCATAATCATGGGCAAATCAATTAAATTCTACAAAGGTGAGGTTCTTAATAAAGTATGGTATTATTTTCTGGCCTCCCGACCTTATTATAAGGATCGACTAAAGTGATACCTGTAAAACTGTAACTTGCAAGTAAAAATGATAGCAAACTGTTATCTTAATTATTATTATTTTTAAATGCCTCCTACGTGCCAGGTACTATCTGACGTGCTTTGTATGAAAACTTACTTAATCCTTACTCTAAAGTTATTAGGTAGATCCTGTTATTTACCCTTATTTCACACAAAAAAATGGAGGCAAACAGGTTACAGAATTTGTCCAAGATTTTAAAGGTATTAACTGGGAGAGCTCTGATCCAAACCCAGGCAGTCAAGCTCCATGCCTTATTGCTTCCAGATACAAATTTAAACTTAAAATCCTGTAATCTCAGAATAAAATTGGGAAGACTTGACAACATGCAGTACAAAGCTCACTTTTTGATAGGGAAGTCTTTACTGATAAGAATAGTTGGTAGGGCCTGAAGAAAATCAGTTGAACAGCTGAGTACAGCAAGAGATGAAGGTCCTTCTCACATGTGGACAGAACAGTGCTAAAAACCAACAAGGTACTTCAATGTAAAATTACCCTTTCAGACTTGACAAAAAAGAGGATATTAGTATTGTGGGTAACCAGGTAAAGACCCTGAAATATGCCTAACTGACATATCACATAGATACATTTATGCTGTATTTAGACAAACATTTATTGAAACCGTTCATGTGACCATAATTCTGCAATTAAACCAATGGATATACCCAACGCCAGTGTAGACTACAACTGGGGTTAGGACAAATATAAACTGATTGTGCAATTTCTCTTCCATCTCGCCTCTAGGTGGATCACTTTAGCTCACAGATCCTGACCATTGATTTTGGTTAGCCATGGGAGGAGGGGGGCCAGAAAGTTGAGATCACCCACCCGTACCTGCTACCTGGAGAAAACCTATTGGCTTCTTTTTCCTTTTCTTTCCACTTCTTTCCCTTGTTGGAATTCCTTCGCAAAGGTGCCCTATAATGACAGCACACAGTCAGAAAGGGGAAACTGACATTTTCTCTTTTAGTTTTTTTTTTTTTTTTTTTTTTTTTTTTACAGAGGGTTTGTTTTTTACATCACGAAATGCTTACCCCAGATCCACAAACTTGCGCTTAATTTTTCCTCCTTGTACCACCAGTGAACTGGATGCCCTTAGTGATTTGGGACCTTTGGCACCATCTAGGATATACACACATGTGAAAAAGACCAATTACTATTCTTTTTAAGGCCATGAGTCAAAGTCAGTGCATCTCTGAATCTAAGGACTTTACACCAATTCCAAAGTGTAAAAGAAAATAATGTATGCCTTTCTAAAGCCACAGGAAACACTTCTATGTTGAGGAATGTTCAGTTAAGCCAGGAGAGGTCCTGCTGGACAGAGGCCCAATACCCATCACAAAGAGTTTTAGCTTCGGGGTACGTGCACCCCAATGTTTATAGTAGCAATGTCCACAATAGCCAAACTATGGAAAGAGCCAAGATGTCCATCAACAGATGAATGGATAAAGAAGATGTGCTACACACACACACACACACACACACAATGGAATATTACGCAGCCATCAAAAAAACCCAAAATCTTGCCATTTGCAACAACGTGGATGGAACTAGAGGGTATTATGCTAAGCGAAATAAGTCAATCAGAGAAAGACAAGTATCATATGATCTCACTGATATGAGGAGTTTGAGAAACAAGACAGAGGACCATAGGGGAAGGGAGGGAAAAATGAAACAAGATGAAACCAGAGAGGGAGACAAATCATAAGAGACTCTCAATCTCAGGAAACAAACTGAGGGTTACTGGAGGGGAGGGGGGTGGGAGGGATGGGGTGGCTGGGTGATGGACATTGGGGAGGGTATATGCTATGGTGAGCGCTGTGAATTGTGTAAAGAGTGATGAATCACAGACCTGTACCCCTGAAACAAATAATGCATTATATGTTTAAAAAAAAAAGATAGTAGGAAGGGAAAAATGAAGAGGGGGAATCGGAGGGGAGACGAACCATGAGAGACTATGGACTCTGAGAAACAAACTGATGGTTTTAGAGGGGAGGGGGTAGGGGGATGGGTTGGCCTGGTGATGGGTATTAAAGAGGGCACGTTCTGCATGGAGCACTGGGTGTTATACGCAAACAATGAATCATGGAACACTACATCAAAAACAAATGATGTAATGTAGGGTGACTACCATAACATAATATAGTAAAATTAAACAAACAAAGAGTTTTACCTTCAAATATACTGGAATGAGCAAAATAAGCAAGATTAAACACTATCAAATAATTCTTTACATTCAAAGCAGGGACAAACATGACTTTCCTTTTGTTCCTTCTCTGGCTCCAACTCCTTGCTTCAAATGCCAGGCTCTGTCCTCCATGCCTGCCCTGCCTTTGGGTTTTGGTGCCTTCTGACAGGAACCCAGCCCACTTCCCCCATACCTCCAATACAGAAAGTGACCCCTGAGAGTCTGGGAGGTTTAGGGGAGAAAGTGCGAGTCAAAGCTTTCTCTTCTGGTCTCTCCCTTGCAAATGGCCTCTGGCCAGTCCTGAGACAGAAGAGGGCAGAGCATAGGGGAGACTTCTTAAGCTGGGGCTCAGCTATAAAACATTTATGTCTTTGAAAGGCTTCTCTCAGAGGTTGGGTTGGAGTACAACTTGGCTGGCCTCCTGTGATGGGGAAGATGCCAAAATCTCCTCAGTGTTTGGAGCTGAATGATCTTTGCCTCTGAGTTATGCTGGCTCTCAAGGGCAGCAGCTGCTGGGGGATGGGAACACTCAACATGATGCCAAAAAACCAATCAGAGGAGAGGCTTTGGGAATGGACTTCAATGGCAAATGCAGGAGCTGGATTCCACGGGTGGCACTTATTCCTCCTTGGACATGGGAGATAATTCTTACAGCTTTACTTGGAACTGTTTGGCAAAGGATGTTGTTCAGTGTCCCGTTTCAGCATGCCCAGTGATCGGAGATGATTAACAGAGAGCGTGTTATGTTTGGTGCAACCTTGTGTGTGAAACTACTCCTTGCTAGCTGTCTGTCTCTATCTTTGAAAAATTAAAAATATTCCAGCAACTTTCTGGCATGGACTGTAGAGAGAACAGTGCTCCTACAGAAGTGTTTAATTAACCCTGCTAATTAATTCTGCTCCTATTTGTGTTTCAGGATAAATTTCTAAACACACACGCAAAACATGAATTGCACACGCAGTTATTTTTTAGGAGTTTATGTTCAAAGCTCTGAAGTGGCAGCACAGGATGTTTACAGACTCTCTAAGGATTTTTAGCAATGAGCTTTTCACATTTTTAGTTAATGATACTTGGATTACAACAATCAATCCCTTGGAATGTACATACTGAAATAACACGAGTCAGAAATATGTCCCTGTGAAAATCCACTTCTAGCCTCAAATATTTATTAAGGATATTGGCATCATTATGCTGGGTATCTGAATTAAAGAGCCACAGACGTGAGGCATACACATAAAGAAAATCCAAAGACATGGCACAAACCCCTTCTGAGGTGATTTTGCTAATGGACAAAAAAAAAAAAAAAAAAAAAAAAACAGATTTAAATTTTTTTAATAGAAGGGAAAAAAAAAGGGCTGGATTCCTCCAGATCAATCCTAAAGCAACTCTTAATGGCTAGGACTGTGCAAAGTTTAAAAGGAGCCTGCCTAATTATTTTCTGAATTAGAGGTAGCGGGGCAGTGTTTTAACGAGTGGTGAGAGGACCAGGTGAGACAATGTACATGGAAACACTCTGTAACCTCTTAGCGTTGCAGTTATGTGGACATCTTGGGACTAAAAGCCTGATTCTGCCCATTACAGAGGCTGCTGCTAGGCAACCTCACATCATTATCTCACACATTTGCCAAAGTGTGTTCCAAGGAACACTTAAATGAATGCTTTCAAAAGGCTGAAGAGGCAAGATTAAGTAATAATGCACTTCCCTATTTTAAATCAATCAAATCCATCCTTAATGCACATTAGAACTTCCAGTCTGCACAAAAACCAACACTGGATTGGTATGATTTCAGGAAAAGAAAAAAAAAAGTGAATTGTTTTCATTTATTTATTTAGCTTTCTGTAAAATTTCCATTAGGCTTTTTGAAATCTCTCCAACACTACCTTCAAGAGCAATCAGAAGTCTAAGCCCCCAGGTCGGGTGCGGCAGCTTCACGCTTTGGCAACCTGGCCTTCAGTTTTGAAGGCAGTAAATGGTCTCCTGATGGCTACGTGTGACGGCCTTTTCTTGTACTGCACTCTCCTTCCTCTCATGGGCCCCAGACTCTTGACGTCTTCCTTTCCTCTGGGGACTCCCAAATCTGCCCCCTAGCCCAGCCGGTCTCCTGAGCTCACCACCTTCTTCATTAAAAACATGAGTTAAGGGGCGCCTGGGTGACTCAGTCAGTGAAGCGTCTGCCTTTGGCTCGGGTCATGATCCCAGGGTCCTGGGATCGAGCTCCACGTCGGGCTCCCTGCTCAGTGGGGAGTCTGCTTCTCCCACTCCCTCTGCCGTTCCCCCTGCTTGTGCTCTCTTTGTCAAATAAATAAAATCTTTTTAAAAAATGCTCTTAAAAAATGAGCTAATTGTCTTCACCCCGTATTTCTGACTTCTGTTTCTCCTAATGAAAGGGCCACATTTCCTGAGGCTAGAGACCCTGTGGTCAGTTTTGAGCTCCTCACTTTCTTCCCCTGTAACTAGGCAGCTTATGTTTCATGGGCTCTTGTGTCACTCTTTCCCTCATCGTCTACTGCTCCTCCTTCGAGGTCATCTCTCCCTGTGTCTCCTGACTCATCTTTCCCACACCTCATGTTCTTTTTTTTCCTTTTTATTCTTCTGTTCAAACATCTGTGGTTGCCTAGTGATACAGTGAGGTATCGAAGGCACTTAAATTCTAGATCTAATTTCAAATAGCAGTTCAATTTTACTGCAACCATTTAACCTGCATAAACCAACTGCTTCACTTCAGGCAGGCTTTCAACCCATCTCATGTGTGCCTGTCTCTGCTAATGCCACCTCCATCCTTGTCTGCCTTCCTTGGCCGTCCTTCTTCCCCCCAAGTCCTTCAATGGTCACTCGAATTGTACATTCTTTGTCATCTTATTTGCCAATCTCAGCTGGATACAACCTCGCCCCTCCTCTCAGCAATGATAAAATTTACTATTTCTATACGTATAAGGACCTAATGTAATGTATCAATAATAAATGAATCCTGTAAAGATTTTGCAAAGCCAGGTTCTACTTGCCAGGACATTAATTCAGCAAATATTTTTGAAGGCATGTTCTGTGTCAGGCAACGTGCTAACAGCCACATATAAACTTAGAATCTCTAGAAATCACAAGTAGAAAATGATAGTGCTTAATTTACTCTTCTTAACCTTGTCTGAACAAAGGTCCATTGCTATGGAAGTCCAGAGACCAAAACATTATTATCAGGCTACTCAAAGAATAAGCATGAGAAAAATATTTTCATGCTTTCTACTGTCATATAACTTGTCTTACAGATCTCTGGAAATAATCTTACAATTCCTCTTGCTTTAACTGAAATGGTGTTAGAAGTTTATCATTTATCCAGTTACCATGGGGCTCTTTCTACCCCACTTTCCACCAAGGTCCCTCAAATACGACAACAAAATGACGACTCACGAATGTGGTACCGATGCAATTTTGAAAACACCCAACTTCAATTAGTTGTTCAGTAATACCAGCATTTTGTTACCCTTGAAATTGTAGTCAAGTACAGCTGTAACTTAATTACTACCTTGTAGTAACTTCAAAGACCAAAAATAATGGTCTATTATTTTTTAAAAATCTAGATAAAGGGCAACCAGGGACTAAGACATTTTCAGAGTTTACCCAGCAATCATGAGTAGGAGAAAATGAACGCCTAGACCAGGGGTCAGCAAGCTTTTTCTGCAAAGGGCCAGATAGCAAATATTTGAGGTTTGTGGGCTATACAATCTCTGTCACAACTCCTCAGCTCTGCTGTTTGTGGCATGACAGTAGACAGGATATAGCTAAATGAGTGTGGCTGTGTTCCAATAAGACTTTATTTATAAAACACATGGGGGCCAGATTTGGTTTGATGACCTGCATTGCTTATCTGGAGAGACCTCCGGGTAATTTATCCAAGAAACTTATGAAGCATCAATTATATGCCATACTCTTCACTGGGGA